TTCCTTATTCTTCGTAGTGTTATCAACTTATCATTATGAATTTACTACTTAGACTTTCTTAGACAAAGTTTAACAATAAATTTTTTCTATAGGTAATATTAAGGGTATTGTAAATGTTTCTAGGGCATTGATATTTCTTATTTATAGCATACAAAAATTCTAGGGCACTACAAATTGCCACGTAACCGCTAATATTTTGAAGATATAGATAAGGGATCTGTTTTAAATCCGAATAACTGAGGAAAAATTGTGCTCAACAAGAAATTCTAATAAGCTAGGTTTTGTTTCACTTAAGAGGGTCCATCCTCCTTTTATGGAGAGGAAAATGAAAAACTACAGCAGGATCATTAAATTTTAATCTGTTCCACGCTTGGTGATATCTTACTGATTTCCACTTCATTAAGTGAACTTGTAGTCACTAGCCAAGGGTCATACAACAGTCTGATCGACTTTAATGAAGCGACAGACCAGTTGATCTGTCCCTCAAAGTGTTCTGTGCAGGATTTGAGACACTTAAAGGTTATTAATTGGCGTGCTACCGACTTCACAATTTATTTCACGGAGATCAGGTTTTTGCTTCCAATGGTTCAAATGGGTTAACCAGGTTTCAGTCGTTACCAGATGCTGTTGCTTCTTTGAGCTCGGCAGCGCACTCTGGTCACCAGGTTTTTTGGTTTCATTCACACTCTGCAAAAGTTTTAGAGTTACGGACATGTGCATCTCATTGAACTTGCGGTTTACCGGAGTAGACCATCGTACTTTCAGAAAGTTTTTAGAAGCCTAAATCTTATTAGCAGTGGGACAAGTAACTTGACTCTTAGATTTCCATGCACTGGTCGTATTACTAGTGTTGTTATAGTTAGTTCGGCTACCAAACTTTTATGTAGTAAGCCAGTATTGCATAAGCGGTGGAGTGGCACGGCAACACATGATTCAAATACCCATGGCTTCTTTCGTATTTGATAACTGTCGAGAAATTTCCAAGGTGTTACATTGTATACCTTTCTGTGTACTGAGTAGCAGTTCGTTCCGTTCTAATTTGTGGATGTGAAACATGGTTATTAGGTGTTGAGGATATTCGTAGGTTACTGGAATTCGATCATAGGTGTCTTCGGAGCATTGCTAATGTACTTTGAGACTATCGACTTAGCAATACCTTGGTCAGGAACAGGGAACGAGGTAAAGATAGAAAGTCGATTAATGAGGTAGCGAAGCTTCATCAACTGAGCTGATTAGGACATGTATTGCGTGTACCCAACCACCAATGTTGTCTGATGGATGGGTAGTCAGGAAAGAAATTAGGGGCGCCCAAACCAGAATGTGATACCAGTTTATGAAGACAATCACAATTGAACTGAATCACGTTAACGATAGGCCACCTGGTTTGGGTCCGCGCGATTGCTGTAACTCATGGCTAGAGAACATGAATGAAATGACCCGAAATTGTTTAGAATGGCGCAGGTGCATCCTTTCTATTTCTCCCCCTAAGTTTCGTGATTCTAAATTCCTTGTAACTTTTGTTTTTATTTCAGTAATTTATTTTTTCTCGAATCGAATATTCGACGCCCAATCTTTTTACTCACCAATGATACTGCATCTACTATTCTAGTGTTTAGTCTAACAATTTCATCTGTGTGCTAATAGGGTATGGCAAGATGAAAAGATGTGCACACGTTTATTTCTATTTATTCAAACACATAAACATTAGTACAGAGGGGAACCAAATAAATATGCGCCACACAAACACTGAAATAGACCAATTTGGGGAATTTACAACATAATAAAGTTATAAAGACTTTTCCGTTTGTCAAAAACAATGAGTGGAACACTAACCGGTGGACAAACGTACTTATATGATTTATTAATTCATTTGAACACGTAAATATTGGTACAGAGAGGCGCCAAATAAATATGCACCACACAAGTCACTCGACTTGTGTGAAGACTGGGATACTGCTCGAACACCCAAACTGAAACAGGTGGTTCCCTTAGGGGCCACACCCCGAGCCTTTGACCTACAGGTCCAATGCACAAGACAGTGGAGCAACGTTGGGAGATGCAGTCCCATAGTAGCCGGTGACCAACAATAGGTTCATACGCCGTTTGTTCGCTCAGGATCCTAGAGCCCATGTGCACTATTGGTTTGGAACCATGGTTTTCCAACTCCCCTAGGTGGATCCTCCGTATCCACCAACCTGGTTAGAGCGTCGGACATTCGCCTTTTGTTCCCTCAATTTTGTAAACATTACCCTTGCCTTGAGAAGGAAGTGAGCAGTACTTCCTTGTCAGAGGTTGTATACGCGTGGCCATGTGCGAGCATTTCGAGAGGGATAGTTGACTCTACACACTCTCGACTGCATTTAAAGGCACATATACCGATCTGGACGTGGCAACTGACTTTTTTTGTCATTATCTTTCGAAATCAAATTACATTATCTAATTAGTTAGTTGCTTGTCCGCATAGCGGTTTTCTGTGGTAGCCATTTCAACTGTATACTAAGATGTGCTTTTGAATAAGGGAATTAGTGAAGTTGTTTTTTATCTTTGGGAAGGTCAAACGTGACCACTATGAACCATTACTCAAATATTTTTCAAGCTCTAAAAATAATCACTTTGTACACAGATATTCTCAGTTGAGATTATTATTTATCTAAATACAAATGTTGTACATTGCTTTTTTTAATGATGCGGCGATTTTCTTAAATTTCATTAAGGGTGTTACGAACTAGCGCTTCCAATCGATTGAATACCGATTCATTTCTGTCCAATAAAGGCAATCCCGGACTAGACACATCAGCATCCCCTGTACCTGCTTGTAATTTTTCAAATGTTAGCAAATCCGCTAATACAACTGGACATACACCAGACGTCGTAGTCAAAAAGGAGATTGCAAATTTACCAAGTCCTACTTCTGTTTCCCCATCAGTTCGTTCAAGTCATTCTACCGCTATGGCAGTTGACGTCACAACTAAAAGAGGTTTCTCACCTGTTGCACTGTCGGAAAGTGGGTCTAGATCAGAAAAGTTTACGGATACTCTAAACAGCTTCGAGATGAAGTCTTTTTTTGATCCCATATTTATTTCTAAATATCAAGATGATACTTTACAACGTCTTGAACAAGAAGTAAGTATAACCCCTGTGAAATGATAATCAAAACCTCCATTTTTGTCATAATCTTTATTCAAATTAATATTTTCTTGTTTCAGGCTCAAATTGAGTCGAAAAATTTCGATCGACTACAGAGCGTTCTTTATGGGGAGCTGTCAGCTGAATCCAAAAAGTTGCGCGCGTTAGTTCGAATAAGTGAAGCAAAACTCGCAATTCATAAAGAGAAGTGAGTGTAGAAATGTATTTAGTTCTGTGGTTAGTATTCTTCAGATTTACTTTTATGTTAGCAGTAAGTTGAAAACCTTATTTATTATGGTGATAAATTTATTTGTTCCTAGTATATGAACGTGGTTTTCACTGTAGTACCAATTAGGATTCAACTGCACCTAGTAAACTGAGCGATTGGTATTAACTAGTCGGTATATGACAGGTTTTTATGTACGTCGTAGCTGGTCAATGTTGCTTGTTAGAGCAAAAAGCAGCCGACCGTTTTACCTAGATATTTTCGACCCAGGGGTTCACATGCCATCCGAATCTTTAAGACTACCGCTCAACGAAAAAAGTTTGTTCGGAAAAAGGTCAAAATTATAAACTATTATTAGTGTAGACATCAATCATCATGGACTATAACCTTATGTTTCCATACTAACGATCAAAGAGTTACACAAAAGGGGTAACCACTAGTTTTCTTAAACTCCCATCTGCTGTGATTATCTGTACAACCTAAAAAGACTATTTTACGCTAACCGTTTAGAAAAATTAGGTTTTCGTAATAAAATAAATAAGTTTTCGAATGTCTCAAAGTTCAGGACAGTCATAAGATAAATAGGTAGGAAAATGTGGAGAATTAGTTACTGCTTATGGCAGTGTAAATTGGCTCTTCTGTGATCAACCAGAGTAATCTACAAGTATATAAGAGAAGACGCAGCCACTCGTTATTGAGGAATAGAAAACGTTTAGATACTCAAGTACATTAATCACTTTCGTTCCGTACACTACTGTAACTATTCAAAATAAGGTTTTAAATTTATTTTTGCTGCATATGGACATAAGTAAACATTTACCTGTCATCTTGCTGGTATAAAACAGTTTGTTTATTATCAGTATACGGTTGTGGAGATCGTGAGACGGTTGATGTAAGACCATTATTGAAGATGTGGAAGCACTAGACGGCCATTTCGTCACATTACGGGACTCCTCAGCCATGCGTACCTACGATCTCGCTCGCGGGATTCGTACCCAGAGCCTTCAGTTTCGCACGCGAACACTTAACCTCTAGCCCACTGAGCCGGCATTCAACTGTGTTAATGTCCAATCTTCCAGGTTTTCAATGATGGTCTAACATCATTCGGTTCATGATCTCAATCAAAAAGCGTGTTAATTCGTTAGTCGAGATGCAACGTATACTTTGTATTTCTCTTATTCAGACAAACATCATTGCAAGAGCTAATGGACGCGATTGAAGTGCGAAAACATCTACCTAATCTGTCTTTCGTAGATGATGTATTGTAGATAATTCGGACTTCTGTTACATACCTTCCTCGTGTGATAATGTTGGTTATCCTGGACCCTGTTCAACTTGTCCCACTTGATGGTGGCTGTTCTATCACAGTATTTCCCATGTCTCGATAACTGGACCTTCATTTTGCATTCTACCTAAACACCATGATCTTGTTTATTTCCTTAAAACTGGCTATCAATCCTTATTCTATTTTCTTATAGCTCTCTTCAATCCATTGTGTATTAATGATCAACATTTTTTTGTAAGTGATTGTACAGTTGTACACTTTCTTAAACTTTATCAGAGTTTAACTGATGTTTTCTGCTCTGTTTTGGATAATTGCCTAATTCAATAAAATTATGAAAAAAAACACTGAAGTCAAGAGTATTTAAACAAACGGAACATTTTTATTGAAATTTAAACATAAAAAAGTACATAAGCGCACGGGAGTATGTGCTATCGATTGTAAGGAGATACACAATTGTCCTTACATCACTAAAATTGTGAGCAAGGAATTATAAAAAATTAATAAGGCGCTGTACAACTCTTTACAGGGAACAAAATAACAAGCGTGAGTAAATCACTATGTCATTTAAAAGATTGGTTCAAAGTCTAGTTGAAGGTAATGAAATGGAGAGAAAATGTATATATAAATATCACCACGAGTGCATTCGCGCCAACCACCACTCAGTTTAGTTGATACTAGTGACGCACAGCAGCCTCCTGAAGTATAAAAAGACGTCACTGTATTCACATAACAAATTGAAACAACGTTGATTTTCATAGTTCATTAAATATATGCTTATTTGGTAATCCACCGAACCTAACTTCTGTTGAGTTAATTGGGGTTCAGGTTAACTAATCTGACTGTTTTTAAATATAAAAGTTATTTACGGAGACAAGCTTTCTATATATATTCTGCAGAAATAGCAGATCTTGAGACGGATCCCTAGGTGAATTTCTAAGCTACCGTAGAATAGCTGCTCAGTTCTACTTTGTTTTTGTTAGCGGGACTGGATTAAAGCATGCTCAATGCACGATTGCTTTGGTGCACGCTGATTGGATAAGAATTAACCAATCAGCACCAGTTGATAGTTGGAGAGTACTCTAGAATCTCATGTAAAAACTATAAATATACTGACGTTTTTCTCTATTGTGCTTCTTACTGGCTTCTTCCTTCCATCTGACCTTGTTATTTGGAATATGATCTCTTTCTTGTTCAACCGTGTTCTGATTTGGGGACTTGTCGAGCGAATCGGTGTACGAGAATACTAAGCAATAGGAATAACTGGGGTCATAACCGTAAGAAAGAGATTATAAGTTTTTTTCAATGGTTTCCCATCAAAACAGATTGTGACGACAACTACCTTTAAATCGAGCAGCCTCTAAACTCTACTCGAAACTGATTCCAAACAAAGATACTGAAAAATTTGCTTACTGAGTTCAATCTGTGGATGCTGTTTACTTTCTCTAATTGTGAGTTAGAGGTAGGATTATCGTCGACAGATGCATCAGCGATTTCTGGCATTGTGGAGCGTATGATAGAGAATGGCATAGCAGGAGAATGTGTAGACGGTTCAGTATTCATTGAATGGCTTGTTTTATTAATCTGGAGAGCGAATTCGACTGGACCATCGCATACCACACATGACAGAGTCGATTTGGATTCCCAAAATATCTGTCAAGAATAATATGCACTTCCATTTTAGACAGCACAGATTAACATTCATCATAAAGATATACACGATGATAATTCCGGACTTACTGAAACGGGGCAATGATAATTACTACAAAAATCGGTGATTCATTCGGCATGATTTGTTTTTGCGTTGTGCGGACTGCCTCGTTTGTTGCTGTTGTTTTAAGTATATGACCGCTAATCACCAGATATTCAGGTGAATCTCAGGACGATAATATTTCACATAGACTACGGCGGTTTCAGGATTTAAGCATATGGACTTTGATATACAGGGTTTGTCACAGATAACAATAATAGTATGTTTAGCATATATAATTTCTGTGAGTACGAAATTTATCTGCAAATCGGGCAAGATGTAAATAAACTGGTTCTGACTAACTTATGACAAAAACTAGTTTTGTATCATAAAATAGGAGTTCTGGTCGCTTGATTAACTGGTTTGAAGTTTTCATCAACCAACAGGTTATTGCGTAAAATGTAAACATTATGCAATTAAATTGATGAAAGCAGTGACATATCATTCTATAGATTATCTGCTTTAACCAAAATATTATTGCTCATGCAGTAGTGCGTATGTGGTAAGTTAGTGTTACCAGATACTAACTTGAAGACGTAATTGATCACAGCGTCTTATCTTAGTAGATACGCATGATATTATCCAAAGTCATGAATTAATGTGATCAAACAGGTCAGACGGTTCTTCTTCAGATTATGGTCCTCACCAATGATTTTAAGACGGCTTTTATTATTTGGAGAACTGATCTGTATGAATCTACTTATTTAATATGAAGTTAAATTTGAAAAATTCTTACGTGCAAAACTTCATCAAGAGTAACTCCCATCAACCAATGTCCGTTGACCTCCAATAATCTGTCACCTGGCTTCAATCTGCCGTCTCGAGCAATGACACCATCTGGTGAAACCCATGTAACAAATATTCCGTCATCATTGGCTAGTGATGAGTAATGTGATGTTAAATTAGTTATCACGTTACTATCACAAGTGTTAAGTCCACCTGTTACACGTAGTCCATATCGTTCTCCAGGTCGTTTCGTCACAGTGATACGCTGAATTGATAAGGAAATATCGCATCATAATGATAAGGTAATATTTGGACTCAGATTTCATATATTAAGAATTGGTGTTTAACTTACCCTTAACCCTGGCGGCGGAGGATCTCTCCGTACATCTAATTGCAGTTCTTTAACAGGCTGGATTAAAGCTTGTACTGCTTCATCATGTGTAGCGTGCCTCAAGTCGACTCCATTAACTTTAAGAACTCTATCTCCGATACGTAAGCCAGTATTAAGAGCTGCACCATCTAGGGAGATCTATAATGACCAATGTAAAGATTACGGAATTAAGAAGTAAATGAATCCCTTAAATATGACACTCAAACATTCCTGGCTAGTCAGTTTTTCTGCAGTCAACCTTTAATTCTACAACCACCAAAGCTCGAATTAATACAAATAGTATTTGATTGATGGTTCGTCCATGGTTTTCTCGAAATTTCATTATTTACGGAAGTTTGGATAAAATAAGAAGTAACAACTGCCTAAGCAGATCGTATACGTCTAATGAAGAAGGGAGTATGTTACATGTACAGATGTAACGCACGATATTGGTCTGACGCAATGATTGGTGAAAACGAAGAAAAACTCATTCCATTTCATAAGGTTTATTTCTCTACATTCATTTTGAGTAAAAGAAGCCAGATTATATGGGGTCGCATGATAATTTAAATGTAAATATGAACGAGCTATGGTAAATGGATTTTTTTTGTTAACGAAGTTTATCAGCTACCCGAGGTCAGTTCAGCCACCTCAAAAAATTTGTGAGTACTATTACGACTCTGAACAATTAAAACTCTTAATCAGTTTGCCTTTTCTGAACTTGGTCGGAGATCAAAAGCATATGACATTTAGTAAATATTTACAAAAAGTAGTTATCATCGTCCAGTTTATCAGACTAAGCACAATATATTCATAGGTGCATTCAGTTTTCTCATTATAACAGGATGAGTCCCATACGAAGCGTTCTTTTTTGTATTACACGATTTCTTTACAGAAATAAATCTGCGTGTAACATGGAACATAGTGAAATGAGATTCATCTGCGAACAATCGACTATTACCTTGGATATAAAAATACCTGGTTCTTTGTTACCAAACGGAAGGCAACTAATATCAGATCCTCCGCAGATAGCTAAACCCAAAGGTCCACCATCATTTCGAACCGTAATTCTTTCCACAGGAATACCCTTTTCACTATATAAGTAAACCCGAGAATCACATTTCTCAGAAATGTGACTGTCTGTATTTGTCAAATCTGTAACCTTCGTAGTATTTTGTTGATTATTCGATCTTTTAACTGTCAGAATTGGTGATGACGTTATAAAACCGTTAGCTGCTGTTAAAAAGAAAAAAAAAGAAACTTTCATAAAACATCAGAAATGTAGAATATCGAAAATGGAAAAGATGATAAACTGTGAACCCTACCTATCGCTTATTTAAAAAAAATAACGAATTTATTTGATCTCGAAACCATCACTAAAGGATAGATTTAACGAATATATTTTAATAACAAATATTTCCGCGGGAAATTTTAAGTCATAATAACTAACTGGAGATAAATTTATGCACAAGAATAAAAATCTACCACAAATTTCAATATGCATAATACATACATTTACATCTTTACTGAAATACCTGTAAGGTTTGTGCCTATATGGTAAGCGATATTTATCTAGAGTAATAATAATAAATACGATACCTAATTTGGAATTGAGGATTGTCAGCGCAAATTTATAATATTACAGGTTTACTATATTAGGTCCATTTCTATGCATCAGAAAAGAGTTTGATTGAATCTTCCTTAAAATAATGGCATATATTTTAACAACAAATGTTTTCGGTCAGTCTTGCTGGTCTGGGAGGATGAAAATAAGAAATAAACTGACTCTGACCGTTTTTTATCTTACTTTTTGACTGGAAACGTAGTGGATTTGAAACAATGAACATTACTACTCACAAGACTCTGAAATACCAAAGCTACCCCAACAACAATCAATCAAATACATCACTGTCTATGACTTTGATGCAGTCTCCCAGTATGATGATGTCTAGATATTTTAAAGATCAAAAAAATGTAGGAATATTCAAAATATGCTTACATGTTTTCGGAAGACTATCGAGATTATCGGTCTTGTCAGGATTATAACGAAGTAATTCCAAGTCTACCGAATCGTTAGAACTTGTTAACAACGAAATAGCTTCATCGTGACGAGCGTTTCTAATATCGACACCGTTTATCTAAAAAATAGAAAAAGAAAGAAACGCTATTCCGATAATTTGTACTCGAAAGGTTTTTCGCAACAGTTTTCTGCTGAGGTAAGTCTGGGAGAGTGAACTAAGTTTCTTTTTGATGTAATAAATAACTTGTAACAGGTGGTCCAAATGAATGTTATAGAAGTAAGCTTTTTGCTTAATTAAAAAGAACTTTGTTAATCTATAACACGATCGAACCTGCAGTACAGTGCTGCAGTTTGAAAGACTCCATAATCAAGAACTATTCAAATAAATGTTCAGCTTGATTAGCTAAGAGGAAAAAGTGATTCATCATTCCATCTTTACAAAGTAAAACAACTAGCAGAAATTATTTCCGGAAATTTCGCCTCATAAAGTACGAAAAGATAAAATCAGCAACCACAACAAAAAATTAAAGCTGAAAACTCCCTATACAATGGTGAAAACCCACGAAAAAGACGATCGATAATAGATATTTTTGTCGAACCTATTGGAACACTTACTTACTTACGTCTGTTACTCGTGAAGGAGCATAGGCCGCTCACCAGCACTCTCCATCCAACGCTGTCCTGGACAATCCTTTCGAGCTCTTCCCAGTTGTTATTCATCATTTTCATATCTGCCTCGATTTCCCGACGTAATGTGTTCTTTGGCCTTCCTCTTTTACGCTTCCCTTCAGGATTACAAGTTGGGGCTTGCCTCGTGATGCAGTTCGGTGATTTGCGTAATGTATGTCCTATCCATCTCCATCGTCTTTTCCTAATTTCCTTTTCAGTTGGAAGCTGGTGTGTTCTCTTCCACAGAAGGCTGTTGTTGGTGGTATCCGGCCAATGGATGTTGAGTATCCTGCGTAGACAGCTATTTATAAATACTTGTACCTTCTTGATGGTGGTTATTGTATTTCTCCAAGTTTCAGCTCTGTACAGTAGAACTGCCTTGACGTTGATATTGAAGATCCTCACTTTGATATTGGTTGAAAGTTGTTTTGAGTTTCATATGTTTTTCAATTGTAGGAATGCGGCCCTTGCTTTGCCAATCCTCGCCTTCACGTCTGCATCTGAACCTCCTTGTTAATCGATGATGCTTCCCAGGTATGTGAAGGATTCTATATCTTCCAGAGTTTCGCCATCAAGAGTGATTGGATTGCTGTTCTTCGTTTCGAATCTGAAGACCTTGGTTTTCCCCTTGTGTGTGTTGAGGCCTACTGATGCAGAGACTGCTGCTACATTGACTGTCTACTGCGTCTCATCCGGTTTAGCAACATTCTGTTAGAGACTTTCGCTGGTACTGACAGTAGTGTAATGCCTCTGTAGTTTTCACATTTGCTCAGATCTCCTTTCTTTGGAATCTTGATGAGGTGTCCTTCTTTCCAGTCCATCGGCACTTGTTCCTCATCCCAAATCTTTTTGAATAGAAGATAAGGCATGTTTGTAGTTACTTCGATGTCTGACTTCAGCTGATATGTTGTCGGGTTCTGCTGCTTTCCCGTTCTTGATTTGTCTGATGGCCATTCTGATTTCTTCCGTCGTTGGTGGATTGACACCTATAGGATGATCTATGTGTGCTGCTTCGATGTCTGGTGGATTCATTGGAGTCGGCCTATTCAGGAATTCCTCGAAGTACTTTACCCATCTGTTCTTCTGTTGTTGAATTTCGGTGATTGGCCTGCCTTCTTTGTCTTTGACCGGTCTCTCTGGTTTACTATATTTCCCTGCTAGTTTCTTCGTTGTATCGTATTGAAACAAGATGTAGTCAATATCAAGATACATCTGAATACTTAGAAATAGTAAGTAGTATAACCTTAAAAGCGAAAGTTTAGCCCGGAATCTAAATATCGTGCTTATCAGAAAAGATTGATAAACACCAAAAAGGAAATCGTTAAAAAAATTAAGGTATGATAAGTAGAGAAATCTACAACAGACTTAGAGCGGGAATATAAAACTTACGCTAATAATTTGATCACCAATTCGAAGTTGGCCTTGTTTATGAGCGGCTCCACCTTCTGTTATTTTACTAACATATATAGCCTAAAATGAAAAGGCATATACAAGTACAATTTTCTCAATCGGATTCAAACAATTTAACATCAAGACACTTGAATAATCCTTTGCCATTGAAATAGTATATACCTTCATCAATTCGAAAAGTGATGGCGCTAGGAAGGTACTTACGTGTCGACCTTGCTGTGGAAGTTTAGACAGTGAATTATGGCAAATCTGATAGAAGTTTGAACATTTTACTATTAAAAAATGAAAGAATTTAATGCAAGTGAAAAGTCAAAACTTCAATTATTAGACAAAGAGTTATAATTCTGAGACTATCATATGAGAGCTTACTGATTTTTATCATAGCATTGAGTAAATTGTTACAGATAATAATATATTTAAAACAGAAAGCTAGTTGAATACCAGTGGAACTATCTTATTGCATTCAAGATTATTCAGTCTGTCATTGAATTTAATATCTAAAGCGGTGAGCTGTAGAATACTCATTTTCATCGAAAAAAGCTGTCCATGATTATGGACTACTTTAAAGTGCTTATTTATGTATACTAACAACCTTTACTGCTGTTTTAACAATCCAATAGAATTACACTCAACTAATACACGATGTGTAGTCTACATATCCAACTACATCCACATTGCTCCCGTTTATACACCAATAACATTTCCAACTTTTACTAAGTTTAAAATAGCGTTTTATTTATGTATTTACTTTCAGTAATTGATGCGAATATACATGCTCGTGAGAAATCGTGAACCAGTCTACCGCCCCATTTTAACAGTAATTGATAATTTGTGTATATTGCTTATAGAGGTGCTATTATGTAAATTAGATGGTAATTTTCCTGATTATTTTACTGTATTAACTGATAAGTTAGCAGCGATCATTTAATTTTATTTGAAATTCACTAACAGGGTGTAATTGGTTTTTTATTAGTGTGCATACTCAAAGTGATAACAAGGATCTAAACTAGTTCCTTTATAATTATGATATGTTAAGAAGTCGACTAAAGAAAAAGCACTTTCTCGCATTTAAATAAATCTAGTAAAGGAATTATTCAGTGAATGTAATGTATATCCGAAAGTTATTACCAAATACAATTAGCTTGTAAATTTACTTATTCCATTTATGAATTTATTTTATAAAATTCTCATCTACAAAATCTCATTTACTCAGTTGATTTCACTGATCGTATGTCAAAGTGTAGTAATTTTAATAAGCAGTAATGATTTAAGTAATATATATTGCCAACAGAAGATTTAAACCTACATAGATTTATTACATAATAATGAGTACAAATATCAAACTTAGCAAATCGTGTAACAGTTAAAGTCATTTATTTAACTAATTACCATTTTTTAAAATATGAATGAGTACACACTCTATCTAATAGAAACGTTTCAGTGATACTTATATTCAAACAATCGATACAGATTAAGGCTTAATACAGTATCATGCACGTAGTCTCTTGAGCTATATAAATTTTATGCTGTAATTTTAGTGAGATAGTGATCAATTTCTACAAATTTAACACCAAGACAACAATAGATCAAATAGGCTGCACTAAGGATAGACTTAATAAGTGATAGAATTAAAATTTAATAAAAGATACCTTAACGACTGGGAACAACTTCCATGAATAGACTTCTTTATTCAAAAAAAAAGTTGGATAAACTTCATTTCATCACTTGATCAAAGATTATAATGGAGTTATGTACAATAACTAGGTTCAGTATTCAAATAAACACTGGACATAAAATTTTGAAATTATATTTACTTATGTCTAATAGATTCGCCAGAAATATTAACAATTTAGTATTACTGTTATAATAAACTTGATAATGAAAAGAAACAATGATCATAATAACAATACAATTATTAACCTTGATTCAATGGGGAAAAAAACTTAGTCAATAGTAGATATGACAAGGCACTGTCAATTATTTTTTGTTTCACTATTGTAATACATTTTTGTGTCTTGATTGTATATTGATAACAGGAAATGTTTTTCCCCCGAATTCAACCAATTAGTTACTTAATTATATTTCTTTTGTATAAAAACTAATCCATTTTTAGACAAAACTAGAATAATTAATTGTTTGGTTATTAGTTAAACTTTCGATAATGCAATGAGAAGACGAAGTTTATCAGAATTATGTAATATGTATGTGAGTAATACATTTCGAACAATCTGATCACACATATACTTGTTAAGACATTTCTATATGAAGATTAAAAGGTCAACTAGACAGGTTAAAGGTAAGCCGTAACGAAGAAAAAAATGTGATAATCACTCTAGATAATAAATCAGTATTACCAGGGTAGGACAAATTGTTTCTAAACACATAAAGAGGGTTTCAATTTCCGTATAGCCAAGGCTTCAATAAACCTCAGTATACGTCCTTGAAAGCTTTTGTACAACACTACAAATGCTGGCTCGATATCAACCAGTCTCAAATGTTTCGCAATAGAGGATGATGTCTGTCTATCCCATGATCTTATTTGGTCAAATGTATTGCGCAAATATACCACATAATTCTGATAAACTTCGTCTTCTCATTCCATTATCGAAATTTATCAAAGGGACTAATTATTAGCTGAACGTTTAGTATCAAGGTTCAGTTAGTAATTGACTTTAATAGTTCTAGTTTTGATAGAATGGTGTCAAATAAACGAAACTTCAACATGAATAAGACAAACATTTAGGTTCTCAATCGACTATTACCATAACATTTCAAAGATTGAAAAAAGAATCTTGTTATATATCGTTTAATAACTAGTTAATTTACTTAAAATTAAAATTAGATTAAATAAAACACAGCGTAATTACATTCAATTTTAATGAAGGATCAACTATAATTAAATTGAAATAAAACAAAGAATGAAATTATTTCGACAATTAAACATATTTTTGATGAAATTAAATTTTAAAAAAAGAGGAAAAAGACATTTTTACGACAGAAGGGTCATTTCAATTTCATTCTTTGCAACAGAGAAATACATATATAATTCATCGTAATTAAATAATTACAAGCAATAAGTGTAACACTTCAATAACATGAACACATAATACACAACACACGTAGAGAATAAAAATGACACGAAAAAACCGATTACAACATAGAATAGTTAAAGTAAGTTATCAAACAAGAATTTCATTTGAAAGTAATCAATGGAAAATATATGGTATTTTGGGGGCCCTGGAACATCTGACTCCAATTTGATCACCAATCCTCGCATAAAACTATAGATTTAAACCACATTAGTGAATAACGGGATTAAATATGTCAAATACGTACGCTTCCTACAGTTGTTGATCTAGACGGACGATTGGAGAGGGCATGTGAGCCAACTCTGACCAAGCGTTACTCAATATTTATAGTCAGACAAAAGTAAGCTAGACACATGATGAGCAGGATAAGAGATGAACACGCACACGCTTACGCAAATACAATCGAGGTTGATAAGCGAATGATTAACAAGGTCAAAATATAACTCGAGAAGCATTAATAAATTGGCCTGTCCAGGGGCTAAAATAACCTATTTGGGCTTGACATAGTACCAGCATCTACAATGCAAAGCAGTACAAATGGAGGGATTTGTTTTAAATAAAAGTACCCCAGTATGAAATAGTTTTGTATAACTGGTCGACAGGTTTATCAGATAAGACAAGAATTACAGTAAAATCGCTAAGTGAACATGATCGAGTCATATATCTATTGAGTTATAGAACACACATTACTCAAAAATTTTTAGTTTGTATTCCATACTGATTTATTTGAATTGAGACAATAATCCCTGATTGAATAAGAAATAAAGATAATTCAGTGAAGAAAATTCTCTTTTCCCTAATTGGTTATACAATGTAATATAAAATACGAAAAGATGCTCGTCTCACTATTTAGACTAAGAATAAATGGATTATAACTTCAAAAGGGGAATAGTAGTAAACTCAAATTTCTCTAAAAATAAATTTAGCTGAAGTAAAATTTCAGCGTTTCTTCAAGTGATAAGAAATAATTGATACTTGAATAACTGTTATATGCAACAATTAAGAGACGAATACATGAAAGTATGAATTATACTCTTTTCTAATCCCTTTTTTATCATTCTGTTTAAGAAGTTAAACATTTTGCAGAAATATTCAATACATAACAAGATTCGACGAGAACAAACATAAAATGATATAATTTCCTGCAAACAAACAAGACTATTTTACATTTACAAAGAACAAAAGTTAAGATTAAACAAGCGTGAGAGCGAATACATAAAGGTTTGTGTCAAATGTTTTGAACAAATTACAATCACAACAATGATAAAAATGGACTTTATCCGACTCATTAATATTTATAGCATAATAATAATAATAATAATAATAATAATAATAATAATAATAATAATAATAATAATAATTAATATACGACTATTTGAGAAAAAATCGAAATTAAAGATTAAATAAAATTAACATTGGAAAAAATTAGGACGAGAGGGGAAAATAAAGCCCACAAGGCAGTATGATTGATGTCAACGATATAAACTATAAACCTACCTCAAGATATTTGCATTTCTATAAGAAAAATAATGTAGTTTCATGTCAAAGAAAAAGAAGACAATTTCGTAAAAATGATTAAGTATCCTTTAACAAATGGACGATCAACTATTACTATTAATAATAATAAAGGCAGTAGTAGAAGTTGAAATAGAAATCATATTCTGAATTCATGTAGACTTAATAATTAGAATATAATAATAGAAGAAACAATAATGGTCGAAGTAGTAGTATTTAAATTTACATTTAGAATATACAGAACTACTACTGATGAAATATTTATATGTATTTTAAGAATAACTATGCCTAATACATAATGATGTTAAATGCATGAATTATTGATTATCCTTAGTATTCAAACAAAAACACGTAAATGTGAACAATACTGTTGTTAATTAGACCTTCATCAAGCTTTATACTCTAATTTATTAATACATATATATTACGATTTCCAATTGATTAGACGGATTATTTGTACAATTCTTGTTGGATAATTTTTATACACTACTGAATTCCATAGATTTATATTCTCAAATTTTGATGCAAACATGCCAACCTAAAATCCAGTATGTAGTTTATGTATTTACGCTATACATTTCGAACTATCTGTATAGCGCAAATACATCACATTTTTCAGATCAACTCCGTCTTCTCATTGTTTTATCGAAATTTATAAAAAGGATTAATTGCCTTATATGTTAGTTTATATTTATTAGGATTAATCATGTACTCTTTTTTCATGATTATTAACATTGACTCATAGAATGTCTGAATATATAGTATATATATAGTATCATTTGTTTATGTGTGATGTTGATATATAATTCCTATTTAAACATTAAAAAGACGAAGTTGGGCGAGGGATCTCCTTTCAACGAATTTATTATCAAGCTGTATAGTCGTATATATATATATATATATATATATATATATATATATATATATATATATATATATATATATAGTATTGTTACTACTCATATTATTTAATGGAGTAAAATAATATTCTTACGACTGCATCATCATGTTTTTTTTATATAGATATGTACGATTGTACAGCTTGGTAATAATTTCGTTGAAAAGAGATCCCTCCGCTGAACTTCGTTTAATATGTCTTATGTTGTTCTAATGATCACAATGAAAATTTTTTTATTATTTTAAAATCCTTGTAATTACAAGCATGAATTATTATCTATTGGTTTTACATACACAATTTTATTGAAGTGTATTAAAATTGTTAGTTTATTCATTATTTTTAAAGTCAAATATCAAAACACAGAATAAAAATAAAACAATGTGAATTGTTGATTGACTAAGTCACTTAAAAGAGGATGGAATGAATGAAGATATATATATATATATATCACAGGACAATACACCATTCAATATTAGAAACATTATAAATTGTAAATGAAAATGGAAGCCCAGAGTAAATAAAAATTTTCTTTATTGTTCATAATGTTTGAAATATTATATTAAAAAAACCCAATAATACATTAACAATTTAATGAATATCAAAATTTAAAATACGTATCAGCAAAACTTACTTCATTATCTAATGGTGGAGGAAGTGAGCCTTGACCACCGGCAATACTAAATCCTAGACCATTTAAATCTCGGTGTAATGTACAGTGAATAAACTGTACCATAAAAGAAATTAAAACACAAAATAAGTTGATGTAATGTAGCATATTCTCTATAGATTTTCATAATTGCATTATTTACGATTATGTAATATACAATTAACAGTTGATGTAGTTGATGAAGGTTAAATTTTCAATATAGGACGTACAATCTTTAATATGAGACTGATAACAGTTATTAGATTAGTCTATCATTGGTACTGTACTTTGGGTTTGTTAAGAAAGAGTTTACAGTTAACAACATGTTACATGTAACAAAGTTTTCCTAGATTTATATATCTGAAAAGAAACTTAGAATACACAATGTTAAAGTACGACAATCCACTTGATAGTTGGGTATTAAAAATTGATCAAACTATCTATCTATCCATTTCTTTAGTGAACGTTAACTTAAAATTATGTTTGGTTTTAGATTTAAAGTTACACCATTATTTTATTTCATAAAAAGGTTATTAGTGTGAGGTGACATTATGACAATTAAAACTGTATTAAGAAAGGGAAAAACCACTTACTTCAGGTATTTCTTTGGTATTAATAGTTCCCGTAACCTAATTAAATCAATGAAAGAAATGATATGAATAAATATACAATTAGATCAATAAGTATTTATTAAGAGAACTACATTTATAAAAAAGGTGAAAATCTAATACAGAAAACCTTACTAAAATAGTAGAATAATATATTCCCTTAAATGTGATAAAGGCTATGGATCTAGTGGATATATGAAGTCTTAAATCTGAGGAATATTTAAGTGCTCATCGGACATAAAATACGTAAACAAGTCTATATTGTTTGACACTAATCAATATATATTCTGTTTAATTTGCCAACAAAAATGTTAAAATTGGGGTCGAGTAAATACTTGCTCAATCGTCTTGTAATTCAATTCAGAGGTATAAGTGATAAGTAGCTGAATTGGAAACCGACTTTTTAGGTTGTTAGTTGAATAAAGGTAAGCGTTTTTTACTCCAGATTTCGACTTATCTTAAAAAGTGATAAGAATAATCTTAGCGTACAGTTTATTCTGCTGTTGAACTAATCAGTATAAACCATGCAATCACTTTCCGCTACAATTTAACGCTACTTGAAAATGCTAGATAACACTCTCAGTGACAGAATAAATGTCGTATTTTTGATATTTTCATGATTTGAGAAGTAAAGAATAGAGGAAAGTGATCACGTTTGTTGTTGATTTGTGTGTTATCAATTAATGAAAGAAGTCAGTGGATCCAGAGGGTGTGAGCAGTTAGCATCAGAATATATTGTATTACATTGGATAATCAGTCAGTCACTGCTCCATATGTTATTTTAACAATCAAATTCACTTATAGAATATCTAAAATGTGATCAACAACTGTATATATTATCAGAACATGATGCATTGTAAGCTAATAAGTAAGATAAACAGTGAAATTGTCTTGCTACACATAAACAAAAAAGAGAATATATGAAATGATGGATAAGGGAGATATATAACAAAGAAACTCAGTTTTCTGAATAATTCAATTCTGTACAAACTTAAAGACTTAACGATTAACGATAGAAATTTCAGTGTTTTGCAGTTTTATTTACCGTCATGTTTATATAAATCACCAACTGCTTTATGATAGAATAAAAGTTCGTTCAGATGAATCTAAATATAGAGGAAAATAGGGTGAGGAAAATTCGAATCATTCAGGAGATATTTAGAACCTTGCAATACAAAATTCGCGTCAAAATATAAGTCAGTCCAACACGAAATAGGAATGTGAGATACACGCAAAACGGTAGAAGTGTTTAACAAAAATAATTTATCGTAAACAATCACGATATATTCAGTACAACATATAATCTGTCGAATAAAGCGATTTATAGTACCCGTATTGCTTGTGATTTTGGTTTTTATCAACAAATAAGCTGCATCAATTGAGTACTGTATTGTAACTCCAACCACGTCAACAGGATAAAATGATCTTTAAAGTATTAATCAATCTACATTAATATTGTATACAATCAAACCTCTTATAACAATCTAGTAAATAAAAACTGACAACACAATAGGACGTTTAATGTAATTTCAAATTAGAAATAACGAAACTTTCAAGAAAAAAATATCAACAATTATTTGTTGACCACGAATGTACAATCGGTTAAGAAATAGAAAAGTGACCAACGAAGCTAGTTAATATATGAGAAAATTATTAATAAGTCGTGTCTTAATTCTGTAATATGTTGGAAATATACAGTTGTCTCAAAAAAGAATCAAAGAATACTAATTAACAGCCACTTGCAAAATATATACATAGAAATATATATTGTTATGACACAAATGAAAACATGCAGATTATTACTGATCCTTTTCCTTAATTAATTGTACTCTTGAAAAGGTATGGAAGTAAATTAGATAGCAAATTATTAATTTTGACTATACAATTAATTGGTATTTTTATACAAATATTGTTTCACTATTTTAATTGTCAAATTTACAAGTACCCAGGAAATGAATGATTGATGATTTCCCTGTCATCACGCATTATATACTAAACTTGGTAACTATGCTTAGATTTGTGTTTTAAACAGTTCCTTACCCCAGAGAAAAATATTACACGGTTGAACAAACTATAACAGATAAATAGAACTTTTAATTATTATTATTATTTAATTATCATGTTTCTAGTGTACAACTAACTAAAATATAGTTTAAAATATTGGAATATACAATAAGATTAATAAAGTTAAACAAACAAAACTTGGATATCTATTCCCAATTTCCTTTTATACAATAACACATTACTGCAGTGATTCTCGCATTCAATCAATCAGTCATAATCAATGTAGAACCTGGTACAAATGTGCGCTGGTTCAAGTTACCATATCATATTAACACGTTAAGATGAAACTAACAAGATGAACAGCTAACAAAATCGAATAGATTTCACAACAATAGCAATGACAAGGCAACATTGAGAATATGGTACCGAAAGATAGAATCAAAAGGTATGGGGTATGAAGAAACACTAGAAACCAATATTTACAGTAAAACAAGAAGTGAATGTATCTGGGCTATGCCACTAAATGTTTTCAACACTTGATCATGCATATCTTGGCCTATCATTGTGAATCAACTAACATTGTACAAATCAACAGTTTGAATTTCATGCTGGACTTCTATTTGGTTCAAAGGTTTACTACTAAAACAACACATATTGATAGATCCTTTATTTTTAATTGTTGTATTTTATCAGTATAAAATATGCTCTAAATAATATTTTCAGATAGAGACAAAAATATTATCAAACAGTTTCATCTGTAATTTTTATAAATAAGATTACCTAGACAAAAATATAATAGATCTTCACACCAAACATCTGATTAATTAGAAAAAACATCCAAAGACTTAGTTACAGGTTAAAACACTAACTTATTTGAAGAGCATTGATTAGTAAATCAATTAGTACTTGTAGCCCTAAACCGAGACGATAAAATTTAGAACATGTTAAATCACTGGATTAAGATGTTTTAGTTATGTTGTACAGTAAAATATTAGTATGACTCAGTGATACAAAATATCTGAAGGAAGTTAATGCAAAGGAATAAAATTATGATCTAATTATCAGTTAGATCATATCCAGTTAAGTTAATACAGCATCAACTTAATAAACTGGGTAATACCAAATTTATGTACAATAATTTTTTTGTATCCAATACATTCATGATCAAGAACTGGTAACCTATGCATATCTCTTACTTTCAAACGTTATGTCATATCGAAAAATTAATACAAAATATACTACGGCACATCGTTTAGTTGACAGATGGACATAATATCTAAGCCACAAGTTAACAAAAACCAAAAATGTGCCGGAATTTCGCTAATCATCGATCTTCTAGCATTGGTAGCAGTTATAAGTTAATATACCAGCCAGCTCGACTAGTTCACTTCCTATGATCTAACTAGACATTGACGTTACTCTAAAGCAATATTTTATAATTAGATAAAAACAAACCGATTTCAAAGATTCTAGCATTGTTATTTAAGGCATTTAGAGGAAACTGAATTTTATCAGAGTATTCAACAATAAAAATAATATCATTCATGCAGTGTTTACCACTATGTAAAATTACAGTTGCGAGATCCATTCATGAAAATCACATGAACGAACTCCTAATACGAGGAACACATTTAATCAAAATGAAGGATAAAAGACATACTTGGTTTCATAATAAAAATTTATGCTCTAATAAAATAAATTTACAGTAAATATCAAAAACGACAAAGCATCACCAATGATTAGATTGAACGAAATAAAAAACAAAACAAAGAAACAATCAGTCAGCTACAACGTAGGACCAGGCACATTTATGCATAAGTTCAAGTTGCCATACCTCATTAACACAACAAGATGGACACCGGATTCATAAAAGTAGTTAATTCAGAGGTGGCAACATATAAAGGAAAGATTGCAATAAGGATATAGTACAGCAAGAAAGAATTAGTTCGTAGACAGAAAGAATGAAGTGATTTTAGTCTCTTAGTTTAAGGGAAGATAGAGAGTGTATACACCGACGCCATTGTGATCGATTCTGAGCCATGTCACCAAGAGTCTCCAACCATTGGTTACGACAGTCACGCGAACCCCAACCAAGTAGTCTGCATCTACCAACATGGCTCAGACTACAAGTTAGTGACTTCAAGCACTGATGCCACGTTTTGGTTTGGCCGCCCCTAACTTTCTTCCAACCATCCCGAACGCCGGTTAGCATTGCACGTCGTGGAAATCGGTGTTCGGGCATACGTAACACGTGGCCCAACCATCTCAGCCGATGAAGATTCATAACCTCATCAACTGATTTACCATCATTCCCTAATACCCTGCGTCTAACCTCACTATTACTTACCTGCTGATCCCAGCAGGCGCCAGCAATATTTCTGAGGCATCTGTGGTCAAATACTAGTAGCTTACGAGTGTCTTCTACTCTTAAGGGCCATGTTTCGCTGCCGTAAATTAAAACAGAACGGACTGCCGCGCAGTATACTCGTCCTTTTATTGATAGACGGATATCTCGCCTTCGCCATAGGTGACGTAAGTTGGCAAAAGCCAAACGAGCTTTTCGAATCCGTGCTGAGATTTCGTCAGACACCAACCCATTAGGGCTGATCAGACTTCCAAGATAAGTGAAGTTGTCAACGCGTTCGATTACTTCACTCCCTATCCTTAGTTCAGGTGTTGACGCAGACCAGTCCTGAAGCAACAACTTGCATTTAGAGGGAGAGAAGCGCATTCCAAACAGTCTGGCATTGTTGCTTAGTGCTACCAAAAGACTGCGTTCTATCAGCGTTTTCACCAAACAGGACTATGTCATCTGCGTATTCTAAGTCGATAAGTGGACCTCCTGGAAGAAGATCAATACCCGAGAATTCAGAAGACGAGAATGTTATTTCCATCAATAAGTCTATGATGAAGTTAAACAAAAATCGAGAAAGTGGACAGCCTTGACGGACACCACTTGAGGTTGCAAAAGCAGATGACAGATCGCCATAAGCTCTGACTCGATTGGTAGTGTTCGAGTAAAGAGCCTTCACGAGGTTTATGTACTTCTGAGGTACGCCTTTCAATGACAGACACTGCCACAGAATGTCGCGGTCTATCGAATCAAATGCTGCTTTTAAGTCAAGAAAGACCACCATTGTCGGACGCCGATAAGTATGCATATGTTCTAAAACCTGACGAATGGTGAATATGTGGTCGATGCAGCCACGACCAGGTCTCAAGCCAGCTTGATTCTCTCGTGTTTGCAGTTCACGAGTCTTAGGCTTCTGATAATTATCGAGGCTAGTATTTTAGATACTATATTGGTTAAACTAATCCCTCTAACTCCCAGATCTTATTTGAAATATTAGTCAACCTAATCTCTAAAATTGAACCACCATCATTAAAGACCTCTGGAGCCAATCCGTCTGGACCAACTGCCCTTCCTCGTTTCAGATTAACTATAGCCTTTTGAACTTCTGCTAGGGTTGAGGGACCTACTTCAATGTTCTATTTACACTGTCTGGGAATGGGGGGTAGTTGTAGAATAGCTGGAGGCCAGCTGAACTGTTCTCTGAAATGTTCCGCCCATCGTTCTAAACGTCTGGACTGAGAGCAGATGAGGGCGTCGTCTTTTTCCGAAATAGTCTAACTTACATTTGATTTATTAATTCCAGTTTCTTTTATTAGTCTGTAGAGATGTCTTGTGTTCCTTATAAGACAAAGAAACATGTAAAACGAAACCTGTAAAACGTCTAGTCACAAAAAGTTGTAATACTGATGACAGTCAGTTTAATAATCACCATTATTTAAATGAGAAAAAGCTACTCTTAATTGATATGTTTTACTGATGTCATAATTTATCTTTTTCAAACTATCTTTCCTCATTGATTAGGACAAGTTTATCTAGTATTTGTTTTGCCAAAATCTGTGTCAAAATTATCCAGTGGTATTAGCAGAAAACCTAATTCTATTTAAACCTAATAATGTCCATTAAAAAAATATGCAGTAGGTTGTTAAACTCTGCGATCTATATTATTGTTAAAGGCAATAGGTAATATGAAACTATATGACTAATTGCTTTAAATATGGAACTAGATTACTGTATAAAACTTTTGACTGCTGTTCGCTGGCTGAACAAACAGTTATTTCACCACTTACATTCAAATTCGTTACTTCTAAACAAAATACATATATGGATTAGGCTATGGAATCTTGAGTGGTTGACTGCATTCTCTCATGTTGTAGTAAATAGTACCGAGAAGTTGAATACTAATTTACGAAGTAAGAGATGTTTACAGTGAATAAGGAATAAATATTTCATGATACAATCTATCAATTTTCCGTACACTCAATCTAATGACTGAGTTAGTGTTTCATATACTTAGCAACTACTACAAGACAGAAAAGTATATAATGTTTGTAATATTGATCAGGTAGTCAGCATAATACATGTAGAAGCTGGTACAAATATGCATTAGGTCACACTACTTCAGCCCAGAGAGAAGATAATAAGGATGAATAGCTACATAGAAGTTGGACTAATGAAGATACCTATGATAGTATGTCTACCTATAAAGAATATGTTTCGAACATAAGGAATGGTCTTCAACCATTGATGACAATTATCACACAGACACTATGTAAATAAGTTTCGAATGAGTAATTATTTAATGTTCATCGAGAATCAACATGCACTCTTTTTTATTTCGACTGAAACCTATTTTGTTTACACTTGTGTTTTATTTTCACTTATAAAGCAAGGAACATTTCGATATGACAAATGGATTGAAAAAAAACCCAACAAATTCTGGTCTAACAGATTAAATCAAATAAAGAAAGTAAGGATTAAGTAGGAGGTTTTTATGGTAAATCAATAAACAATAACAACGAACAAATTTTATTTAAGGGAAAAAACCAACCTACCTGTGGTGATTGAGTCGACAGGTTTAATTTTGTTCCTGATAACATAGGGGGGATAATTTTATAATTGTCTGCTTTCGTAGACGTTTGAATATCACGACCAACAAGAATACGGAAGTAATTTGTATTGGCACGTAAAGCAGATACAGCTACATTATGTTCGACATTGATAAGACTAACACCATTAACCTAAGAAAGGTTAAAAAAAAACTCAATAGAACAGAAATAACCGAGGTTGTTGTATGTACGTAGAAAGTTTTACTGATAAGAAATAAAAAAAGAAAAACAGAACAGTATACTAACCTCTAATAGTTTATCGCCAAGTTTAAGTCCTGAAGTGGCAGCTAATCCAGTAGGATTTAATCGACTAACAAATATACCATGATCTAAACCACGAAATGGTATTGACCCAACTCCACCAGCCACGCTAAGACCTAAACCAGCATTAGGTTGTCGATGGATGTGAACTTCAACTTGTTCTTGTTGACAACCGACAAGAGGTTGTCTATGTAACGATGATGGAGAATGCAAGTCACGACTTTGTAATGGGATATCAGGAGGACTTAATCCACCAAATGGGGAGGCAAATCGTTTTACAGCTCCGTCAAACTAAATAGAAAAATTAGGAAAGACAAGTTCTAAATATTATGTGAAACTATGTGAATAAATCGTAAGAAGGTCCTCAAATGTTTTAGTTTTGTCATTAAGTGTTAGTTCCTTCTTGCAACGATAACCACGAGTGTAATTCTCTTAATTGGTATTTCTGCATGATCACTATCTTCTGATTGATTGTTACAACTTTTAGTTCGCTAGTCACATCAGACTCTATGCAGTTATTCCACATTGATTAGTCATGGAAAATATTAAATTTTTCTCCACACTTCAACTTACCTTTAGAGTTCACATCGTTGTAGATTATTATTGGAGATCTGTGTGTGTGTCAGTTGCCGCCTTTTCAACTTTACAATAGAATCCGTTAGTGTTAGAATTATTCCAATCACCTTGGGATCAATCGAACCGAATCGCAAAATACATCAATAATACTACTGATGCGAAATATATGAAATGGCCCACAAATGCTTTGGTAAGGCCGAGGGTGGTTGAAGCCTGCTTTCCCTCTTGAAATGTTTTCATCTGATCACGCATATATAGCCTTTGCCAGAGCAGTCCTACTCACTCTCCTCGTGGCGGAGTTGTTGCTTACGACATTCAGGACGGATAGCGAATGCCGGACAGTTAAACCGGCTTAGTGGGTAGGGAGGATCTACAAAGAGGAGTTGGAAGTCCTTGACTCTAAACCAGTGGGTTTACATAGGGGGCATGGTGTTGAGGGAAAAGGCAATATATGAACCTATTGTTGGTCACCAGCTACCATGGAATTGGATCTCGCAGCGTTTCGCTGTCTTATGGATTAGACCTCTAGGTCAAAGGCTCGGGGAGTGTCCTCCCTAAGAAAATCTTTTGTTTCAGTTTCAACAACTACACAGTATCCCACCCCACATAAATTGAATGATAACTACTTCATGAGGTGCATATGCATTTCGATTCCCCTTTGTACCAATTTTATGTGTTTTTATCCATCAACTGATAATTTAATCGTCAGTTATAACTGTCCTTCGATATTTTTGTTAGGTATATATGTACAGTAAGTAAAGAACGAAATCTGTTAAAATCAGTTTTTAAATGTAATGAATAACTATCGATTAAACATATTTAGTTTCATAAGAATTGACTGACATTCACTTTTAATGTTATTGTTATTATGCGTTTTCAGTGTTGAACAAATAGCTAAGTTTCTTGTAGTATAACAGTTAGTGATTGACGATTTAGTTGTTTCCTAATCATTACTTTTCTACACCTAATCACTATTGTTGTTTGATGCAAATCCAAAAGTTAAGAGATCTAGCGGAAAATCTAACATTCATAGTTACACAATAATAACCTGCAGGCAGTTGACTAGCTGTTATGCGTGAATTTTTATTCAACTAAAAAGAATATTAAAGATTCCCATTGTGAAAATTAGAACAACACATGTAAGCGAACAATTGTTTTCAATTAGATCGTCATCAGGCTTTACTCTAATTTAAAAATTCAGCTGCCCCTGTGGAGATAGCTATATAGGGCGTACTACCAGGCAACTTAACCAACGAATGAGTGAACATCTACCAACTTGGTACATAAAGGGCCAGATAAAATCTATTCGCAGTACTATATTGGCACATCTCATTGATAGCGGTCATGCTGTAGATAAATCGAAATCATTTCGAGTTGTCTATCGTATACCTCCATCATTTCCCGACGGAGTCCGTTCCCGTCTCCTACATATAGCTGAAGCCATTGGAATTCGTACATATAAACCCAATTTATGTGTACAGAAGAAATACGTGACCCCCCTATCCCTTCCATGGTCGGTTATAACTTTACTAACAATTTTTTTTTAATTTTGCTATTATCATTATTTATTTTATTCTATTTGTGTTATCGTTAAGCTTATTTCCACACCCATTATTTGTTTGTAATTTTCCGCCTCTTTCCGTTTGTATTCTTCACTATCTAATTATTTACACACATCTTATTACGTAATGATTTTAATGTTTTGTGATTACTATTCCTAGTCTATTTACCCATGTTTGACCTTCTATTCCCAACGTTTAACTATTGATAAGAGTTTTGTTATTGTATTTTATTATTCTTACTATTATCAGTTTACCTGTCTTCCTACTATAAACTTGTAATTTTACCTATTATGTGTAGAGACTTATTCTATTTCATTGTGATTATTGACCCATATTGCCTTGATTGGTTTAAAATTTTCGTATAAATATTCATGTATATTAGAGTAAAGCCTGATGACGATCTAATTGAAAACGATTGTTCGCTTACATGTGTTGTTCTAAAAAGAATATTTAGTATATTTTAGCTATAAACCATACAGTTGTTAACCGATATTCTCTCTCTCTCTAAACATATATAGAGTAATCGTTGAGACAATTTATGAAATACATTCGAGCGATGCTAACGTGACCTTGAGACAACTCGCTTATTTTCAAGGGTCAAAAGAGGGTTATAAATTAGGATTAGGATTTAGAATTTAGAGATAGGAATTAAAGTAATAGCTTTCATCACGAACTGACATATGCCAAAACCCAAGACTTACTATCTTTAATTTCATTGGTTCACCCATAAAAATTATAGTCTGGCCAAGTAATCAAAACTTAACTACTATTTATTTTGTAACACACAAAATCAAAATTACTGTTCTAGTAAAACAACTATGTAAGAAGTTCAATTAGTTCACGAAAACAACGAAATTCAAAACATATCGAATATTTATTCACTTAATAGGCTACCAAAAGTAGTATATACATGTGATTTATTGGAATTTCAGTTGAAAAATATAAAAAAAAAACATTTCTATGACGCATTATATGCATAAATTTGTAAGAAAAACAAAAGCATAAAATCAATATTTAGAAAAATCAATGTGGAATTAGTATCAACCTTTTTTATATTAACCAGGATAACAAAAAACAAACAAATGTAATAATGACAATGACTTACATCAATTGAATTTGAATCAGGATTCGGTGAAACGGAGGCTCGATACTTTTCTAATATTTTCAATACTGCTTCTTCACTATCCACTTCACGATTAGAAAACAAACACAAAGGCAATTACAATAGTATGAGGTCGAGAGATGTAGGAGAGAGAGAGGGGGGGAATAAATGAACACAAAAATGGACTGAAGAATCATGTAATACTTAATTTGAATTGTGTTATGAAGTAGAGTTACTAATAATAATATTCACGGTCATATATTTATTCAACTACATTCTCTATCTCTACGTTGAAATATCAATATACGCATAAAGGCAAAAAAATATGGGAGTATAAACAATATTTCCCACATTGTATTTTTCAAGGAATAGGTTAATAAAACTAATAATTAAAAAAAATAGACGTATTTTTTCAATGATTATTTATTTATGAATGAACTCTAGCGAATAAAATAATTTCTCTAATTACTGTTTGCTCAGGTGTCGAGTACTGATGTGGTATAAAAGAGATCAAAGGTAATCAAACGAAGAAATGAGGTCAGTAGATAGGTCTCAATAAGTAGTTTCAATCGAGGTATACTTCAACCATTTCAATTCAGTCAGACACACACTGTTGAATGTTTTCGCCTATACGTATGGAGCGATAGCATACTAAGTCTTAAAACTTTACTTTCGTAGTTGTTTGCATAAGCCACTAAAATCAGTTAGAAAAAACTAATCATTTTCTTGTAAACTAATATTTTGATCCAACAAACTAATAAAGTATACACCAAAGGTATCTAAAGAACTGCTCATTTCTCGAGGAGTAACTAAAAAGGTAATCCTGATGATAGGTGTAAAGTACTGATTAAATATGTGAAAGCATATGTTGTGATTGAATACCATTACAGACAAAGTTAAAGTAGTTGCAGTTCATCGCTAATTACTGTTTGCTTAGGTGTCTATTAATGATGAGATATAAAAAAGAGATCAAAGGCAATCAAACGAAGAAATGAGATCAGTAGATAGGTCTCAATAACTGTGTGGCTATGAAATGAATTCATATATAAACTTCACAGAACAGAACCTTATATTTTAATAAACAACACGAAACACGGAACTTATATTTAGCGTTTATAGCGTATCATCCTTAACCAGGTCCCGAATTAGTACAATTTAATGTAAGTTTACAAGTTGTCAGCATAAATATGTTCATACACAGTCAAAAAATAACCTTCTACTAAAGTTGAAACAAAAAAACATTACCTCTGCATAATGAGAGTTAAATGATTCATTATAAAAACTTAATGTCTTTCATTACATCATCATCAAATAATCTCAATTCATTCCCTGTATTTCATTAACTAAATTGGAATTGACATTCAATAGGAAGTAAAATTTATAATTGCACTTACTCCCATCAGCTGTTTTTGACTGAATTCGAGCGCGTTTTGTATAATGTGGTGTATCACGTCGAATAAGTTTTTGATTTGATTTCTCTTCATTATCTTCCACATCATCTGTGAATCCAACTCGTCTAGAAATAACGTAAATCTCTTCCTACAATATGTAAAATAGTAAATATTAGTAACAGTAAAAAACATAGTCAGTTTTTACTACTATTCCATTAAAATAGATGGGTGTAACACAGTTAAAAAATTGATTACTTAATAGATTGTTCGAAATGTATTGCGCAAATCTATCACATAATTATCATAAACTTCATCTTCTTATTGCATTATCGAAATTTATCAAAGGGAATAATTGTCTTAAAGATAAAAAAAATGTTGTTAGATCACTGAGTCAAAGCTGTACTGAATTGTCAAGAATAGTGAACAAGTTGCTTTTTATATTAAAGAAATGGATACTTATGGAGTGAGAAAATCTATTATATTGGAATTAACAAAAAATAATTACAGACAGGCTCTTTAGAACGATTGAATACGAAAGTTCATAAACATTTACAGTTAGTATCAAAACTTGGAAGTCAGAGCTATAAAGAAATGACATTGGTTGAAGAAGCGTCTGAAAACCAGAGCATGGAAACAACTGTTTTATTTTAACTTGAAGCTTATTAGTGCACAACATACCTACAACTGCGGTTTATAATGAAAACTAAAATCAAACTATACGAAATCTCCACATATCATTCAAACAAAATAATTTCATGTTGTTAAGTATCACATAGTTTTTAACATTTTATTTACAACGCTTACAGAACATGAATCTGTTTTGACAGTAAAAAGTCTAATTAAAATCCGATGAAATTATTTGACAGACTGATGAAACTCTGTAATCTTAACAAACGACAATGAAATGACTGGTTTCGAGAAGAGTTGTGAATTAGATTTCAAGTAATTGAATAAATAGATTAAAATCTTAATTTGATATTAGAACTATTAATTAACGAACTAAATGAACAGCAATTACGTCAATCATTGTTTTGTTACATATATGAATCCGGTGGCTGGAAACAAATTACAAACAGAAAAATAACAGAGAAGAACCATTTCAAAAGAAACTAAAAAAGTAGTTTGAATAAACGAAGATTAAAATTTTAGAATGTTGATTGGTTATGGGTATATATTTTACTTCATTAGCAAAACTGGTGAATACATATATATCAATATGTTTAAATTAAGTTTTATTCTGTGAGAAATAGGGCCGAATTTTAAATCATAAGTCAAATGCAACTTTTTTTTCATGCGGTTAACATGAAGCATTCAAGTAAAAAAGCATCCAAACAATAGAACACAAAAGTTATGCCACGAGAATCGATGATAAGACTACTATACGATTGGGGTATGTGAACTGATAATTTCTTTATACAATCAATTGGTTATTTTCAATTAAATATCGGAAGATACAATTACTCACTGGCCAACTAAATAATTACAGGTTTCAGAGAATTAAAACTACCATATACCGACATACAAAATATTTACACAAAACAGAGTGACTTAGAACAAAGCAATTAATGGTCTTATAATAAGTGCGGCTCATCATTACAAGCACTTATATTTAAACGTATATTAATGGTAATATGATAACCTAATGCGTTCTGTTATTGCTAGATATTAGTTCACTTTAAATATGAGTAGTGTAGCAACTTGAAATCAGTCAACTTAATGTAATATCATAAATTATAACCGATTAAATATTAAATCACATGTACATGTAGAAGCAACAATGAGTCACGTCTGAACTTGAATACATGTCTTTTTTTCTTTCTTGAAATAACAACAATAAATTTACAGAACTAATTATGATACAGTGTTGGATAAATAATGACTGATGTGGACAAATGTTTATTGATATTAGTAAAATGAGGTCATTCACACAAAATGTTTGTCACTTATTTGTAGTAAATTCATAAACCATACGTCGTAATACTGTTTGCGTATGGTAGTTTAAAAACGATTTTAAGTTAACACAAATCTGTAAGTATTCGTTTTTATTGAAATTTTGTTTTTCGAAAATATGTAATAAAACCTTTTTTTTTCGTTAGCTAACAATTTGAACAGCAGCTTTGAAACTTACTGACTTACTACTTGCAGCTAAGTTTATTGGAAGATAAAGAAAGAATGCAACGACATCAAGGAAGTTGATTTCGTACCATATAAATAATATCAACCAACATATGCATCTATAGATTACAGATATAAGACAGGCATCAATCAAGAAGTCTTAACTTTGTCCACATGGCTCAGATCAAAAGTTCATGTCTTCAGGGGGTTGATGGAATATCACTTTTGCTAACTCTCACTAAATTCTTTTCAACAAGGATTACGTGACAAGGTTATTGGAGGCTAAGCATGTGTAACACACCTCTGAACCATCTTGGTCAACTATCTACAACCTCATCGATAGATTCGTTATTTACCAGATTCGTTGCTTACAATGTTTTCAGTATCCACTTATTAGTCCAACCATACACGAACAAATGAGTAGAAATAAACAATAAGGAATATAAACCTTAATATCAGCTACGACTTAAAAAGTTTAAAAATATTTCTTATATATAAAGCTCAATCCATCTGGTTAAGAAAGATGGAAATTTTATAACATCGCTCATAGATGCAACTAATTCTAGTTTTTAGCATGAAGGTTATCAGAATTATAGAATTTTAGGAAATTACGAACTGATGTAAGATAAACAACCATTAGAAATCTGGAAGCACCATACAGCTTTCTCACCCCAGTATGGGACTCCTCAAAGGCTAAGTGTTCACGCAAAACCGAACGCCCTGGGTTCGAGTCTTGCGTGCGGAATTGTGGATGTGCACTGCTGAGGAGTCTCATACTAAAATGAAAAGGTCGTTCAGTGCTTCCGGAGTTTTTAAAAGTGGTCTAACATTGATCGGTTCATGATCTGAATTAGCACTTCAAAATATTAAGTTACGTTTATTTCTCATATCAACATTTTTCATGTGAACTATTTATCCATTCATATACGGACAATATATAGAATAATTATGTCCATCATTTTGACTATTCAGTTCGTGTCATGTAACTACAAAGTTGCAATGTCGTTTAGATGTGCCTAATAACAATGAAGGCATCAATGCAAATTTGTATAAATGCTATGTTACTCATGTCAGTTTTCTTTTTTCTAAAAACAGACTATAATTATATCGGAAATTCTATCTCGTATCATGGTACTGAACTGATGATCAGTGAAAATGATCAAATTATCTCTGATAATAAGCTTTCTTTAATCTATATATTCAACTGAATGTTATTATTATTATTATTATTATTATTATTATTAGTGGTAGTAGTAGTACCACTACTACGATCACTATGAGCATTGGTTATACATAATTTTCAGTTATTTTCCACTGAATACATTATTTCAATCCAATGGTTGGCTATGCCGATACAAACTGGTAAGAGAGAGCGGTAGACGGAAAGACAGGCATACATTATCCTATTCTAAGTTTATAATGAAGATTAGTGAAAATGTATATGACGGTAAATGTCATGTGTACCTTGTGAAAAATAACGATAACGATTTGGAAAACAATATACATAGCAATTGTTGTCGTCATACACGCTCTGACATATTTACTGAGAAAACATTAAAATTGATGTAACACGGGGAAGCGTACAATTTTTTGTTAGCACTTGGAATAGCTTTAAATTTTTGGGGAAAAAAGTTTCTCTAATAATATTAAAACTCATAAGTACTAAAAAATAGCAATATGTAACACATGGACTAATTAATTAATGGTTGATATATATAAGGTGTATTTGTAAACATGAATTCAGTACCAAACTCAAACGACAACAATAAAAATATTTAAGAGAAGGACAAACTAAGTTAACCTGAAAAGGTATTCAAAAGGAAGAATTAGGAAATATTATATATGAACAGAGTTTTGTAGGTTTCACTGAAACACAATCAACACACTTGAATCTACTAGTAATGACAAAATCTCTACCACTACTATGATTGGTGGTTTAAGTTTAAATACAGTACCAGCTAGTGAATTCAAATTCATTCATATGGGTGAAAAAAAACAAATAAGTATCTTGCTTATTGATTTTTTCTAGGCAGAAATATAAATTGGAACTTTTTAAAAGTAATTCTATTATGAATGATAACGTTTAAACAATATGTAAATTTTTCAATCGTATCAAATGTTTAGAAAAAATCGAACAAATATTTATAATAAATCAACACTTACACCTCCACTACTATACGCATCTTCATCAAGATTCCCTTGTACGTCCAAAGTATCGGGAAATTTTTTCACCGGAGATCCACGAGTGGAATGAGCATCTGAAGTATCTTCTACAGAGGCCATCCTAATTACGGTATCGCTAGGAATTTTAGGTTTACTTATTTCTGCAGGAGATTTTGACGCTGGGTGTTCATTGAAAAAATTAGAAGATTGAGGTTTATTATCAAACATTTCTGTAACATGTTGAGATTTATTGCGTGGTCTAGATAAAGGAAACATTATCGATGAGCAAAGGAAAGTTATAAAAATAAAAATGAACATAAGCAGGAAGTATGTAGTACGTCAAACAATGAATTGACACACATACAAGGGTAGAGTATTTAATCTTAAGTTATAATCATTTGACTGTCTAAACACTGCTTAAATAGAGAGCTTAGAAAATGACTTTACTATCTCAAACGATCGAAAGTTTTGTCACAGTTTATAGGCTAAAAATTTGGAAAGTGTGATGCGAGTGAATACTAAAATTAAAAAGATTCGATAACTTCTGATAGTAAAGTTTTTTTGCACACTTTTTTAATGTTGATAAGAATTTACTCAAAATAAATACATTAGTCACAACTTTTCAACTGTGAATCGCTATTTTATTTACATTTTATTCTTTAATGACAAACTGAGCCGAGTACGTAGATGTAGACAATCTGGCTGGGGTTCGCACAAATTCCGTAACCAATAGTTAGAAACTGGGTGACATGGCTCAAAATTGTTTGGAATGGTGTATGTGAATTTACTATTGGCCTTACCTTAGATTTTAAGTTTAAAATTATCATACAAGGAGACATGTACGCTTGATCTTCGACAGAAAGACGTAAACATTACATAAGCGTAACCACTTGTTTCTGCTTTGCTCTCTTCTAAACCATACTAAAGCCTTAGGAAAAACCCTGGTTTTAAAACTGGCAGTTTGAACTACTACCACAGATAGGAAATATTTGTAAGGAAAATTGAAAACACTGTTGTAGTTAGTACATCAAATGGGATGAATAAAAAATAATGGTAACTAACTTGGCAGTCGGTACGGTGGAGATAAGATTATCGTTAGTCACCACAGAACTCTTATCATTCGATTTCATTAATTGATTTGGATAAATGGAAGAGTTAAAATTAGAATCAATAGGTTTTGGAGACTTCCAATCATGATTTAATGATTCCGACAGTGAGATTGGAGCAGTTCCATCATTTAGAGATTCTGATGAACTAGCAGAACTGGTGCCATCAGAAAATGTATTTGAAGATAAATTAGCCTTAAACATGAAAATAAAGGGAGAAAATATTGGATTACGATATGGGACAATGATAAAAAAACCCTTCACAAATGTGACTTACTAACTAAGTACGAGTTCGTGTAAGCACAATTTTATGGTAATCAGTGGAAATGCAATGACTAGTTCAATGTTTAAAAGTATGAGGTCAAAGAAAAGCAATCGGCTGTTTTTTTTCGATATCAACTAAAAAAATGGTGGAAGCTAACTATTGTTAATGGATCCCTATTTTAGGAATATTAGACAATGAAAAGAAATGTAAGCATGAGTTCTTGTCCGAGATCATAGACACTGATCTGACCAATTTAACCTATGATCTAAATGATTATTAACTAATTAATATGGCTGCGGAGTAAAAAAGAATGTAAGAAGCCATGAAAATCCGAAAATACTAGTGTTAATCAGTAAATAAGAGGACTATAAAGCTTTTAAAAAAATCAGATTAGATAGAAGAATAAGATCGAAGTGGTTAATAATCATTTTCAAGAATCGCACTATCTCAGATATCATCTGTAGTGTGCAACTAGTCAAGTTATTTAAAAAACTTGCAATAAATCAAGATGTAGACATAACTAGCGATAACAGATTTCTTAAGTATGCTGTGGGTTCTGATAACACGATTTGCACTCTTTTTTAGTACAAGAAACGATCACATCTCAAAGAATATAATGATTTATTTCACTCGCCGAGTACAAGTTTATGTGTTTGGTTTAGAGTCACACTTTAAGTGTGACGTTTAGTAATACTATCACGTTGCCCAAACTAAATTAGGTAGAGCAAGACTCGGACCTATGAATGAGTTGTTGAAAGTCAAATGTCGAAACAAATAAGTCATCGTCCCATAAAGAATAAAATGAATACTAATGAGATTAAGATTTTGGATAGTTATCGATTTAAGGAATTAAGAATCAAGTTAGTTGACTACATACTCCTATTCTGTTGCTAAAACAAAAATCTTGTTTTAATTATGAACTAAGACAAACAATCGAAACAGGTAGGACCTTTACAATCACTCTAATGTATATCATTTAATCTTACAAAACTGCACTATTGTATATGAAGTTAACTGTTAAGAGAGATATTATACTACTGTTCACCATCTAAATATTCAATAAGTGAATTTGTGATTATCTTATTTTTCACCTGTTTTTTTAATAGTATGCTAACGAATGTAGAAACAGATAGAGAATAGAAGAGTGCATATACATAAAAACTAGTGGTAAACACAAACTCTAGTTTCAAAACCGTTTATGCAAATAAATAATTGATTTTAGGATCAGGTATTAAGTAAACGGTTAGCGCAACATGCATATCACATGTTTCAAGTTCAAAACACCTTCAGAGATAGTGAAAACATGATATAGTCAATGAATGCTTGCATATATTACAAAAACAAAAACAGAGTCAGTTTGATATCATTCGCTCGATATCTTATTTAATTGTACAATCATAGTGAACAGATTCTTTCTATCCACTACCGCTGAACGAGAAAAATGTTCTGACTGTATTGAAAAGTGTTTAGTAATGATGATAAAATTCTTATACTAAATTTAGCATTTAATTACGGTCATTGGATAATCATGAGCAAACACTGAGTTCAACTACTCAAGATTAAAATGAAGCTTCAAGTCGATAAAGAAATAATAAATGTTTCATTATCAACAAGGTTATCCTTTGCAATTATACGATAATAACACTGAGCATACTATTAAGTAGTGAACTGGCTAGAAACAATGTAGACAGACAGTAAAAATATTTGCCAATCGTAATTATTTATTGTAGTCCGATTTACTTGGAGTTTATATCAACAATACGGTGACAGATTTTTAGATCTTATAAAAATCCTAATATTTTATTGGTATAAATGTTTGAAAACACTAGGTGATTCTGTGTCAAGCTGGGATTCAGCAACAACTGATATCTACATGAAAGTGAAATTGAATAAAAAGTCATCTGGATTCATCAAGAATAAATTCCACTAATTCACGTACGCTTGGTAGTGAAAAAATGACAGATAGTGAGGTTCTAATTGATACTTTGTCCTCAACATTATGAAATGATAAATATTTTCGGGTTTTTACTCACTAAATTTTATTATTCCAATGAAATATACTCATTTCATTTATAATGAATTAGATGTAACATATTTTTCATATGGAGATGTATTCATTGAAGTCGATACTTGAATCAAATAAAATCGACGAATATTTTAATGATATAATAACAGTGAGAAGAAACAAAGTAGTAAGAACTATCCAAAAATACTACATATTTTAATGTTATTTATGCCATTTTCAAAACTAACCGAAAATAACATACAGCAGTAGGCAAAATTAACTAATCTACATACATGAACAACACTTTTTGTAAGACGAATAGTTTCTTTTACGGTAACCTGTGCACTCCTAAAGAACTGTATAAAAATTTAAATAATTAACAAAAGGAACTTACACTTCTGCATTGACTGGAATCATCTTTACCACTAATAAGATGATTATCCGTAGCTTTTTTACCGGAACGGGGATGACGTGTTTTTGGAAAACCTTTGGAACCTGATTTATCCTGTTGATAATAATAATAATAATAATAATAATAATAATAATAATAGATGGAGCAATAAAAATATGGAAATGAATGAAGTAAATTCAATAAAAACAGATTTCAAGTATTAACTAAACCGTGAACAAAGAGAAAACTATTTCCTACAGCAGGTTTGCATTGGCGCTTAGGATTTAGATACGGATGTAAGTAAACAATATTACCATAAATACAAGGTTGGACGTTGAGTAAACTAAAGCGACATAATTATATCATTACTGAAGATGCAGTTATTTGTGACACGGTAAGAAAAACAGTAATGCAAAATTGTTTGAAGTTGAACTGTTGTTTTGTAGAAAAAAGATTTTCGTTTTTAAAAACATGGATTCTTCTAACAGTGAAAAGACAAAGTTATCACACTATTCAGAAAGATTTGCACATTTAAAATGTGTATCATTGAATTAACAAGAAAGGTAGTGAGGATAAATAGAATATATTTGTAGATGAACATGACTGGAGACAGCATTGATATACAGGAGGAAACTATACTACTATATTATATCTGGAAAGATAACTACTATCACGCTATATTTTATCTACATGGACTATGTTTGATCCAGAGTAGAGAGCACTAGGTAGAGTGTATAATCAATCCAACAAACCTAAATATGCATATACTTGCCAGCTTGTATGTAGACAAAATATACAGTCATTCTTCAACTCAATAGAAGCTTTAAAGAATGAAAACAGGCAGTTATCAACGGTACATCAACTGCTTTAATTGAACTGAGATCTAGTTATCAGTTGATAATTGTTAAACGAATTAATGAACACTGTGAAGTAAATTGACTTGTTCAGATTCTTTCGCATAGTATCTATCAGTAGACGTTTGTCTTGAAGCAATTCAATACTTCTCTCACAATTCAAAGGCACTTCAATACATATTAAGTAAGCATCAAGAGGAAAGAATAAGTTTATGGTTTATTGTTTTCCGAGACAAAAAAGCTACTTATCGTTATGAATAATGGAGTGAAAAGTTATGGTTAAAAAACTATGTAAATATAATGCTTTACATAATCATAACACAAGTACACATATAGAGTAGAGGAATGAGTAGACAAACGTGTATACACAGAGAGGATACACAAAATATATTTATCATGAAATAATGAAAGTAATTCAAGAGAAAATCATATAAGACATGAAAGATTAGAATTAATAATAAAGAACAATATTAATATATTACCATCTCATCAGGTTTAACTGAACCAGAGAAATGAACACGAGTTGATGCAGATGTTTGCATAGATAGAGATGAATGTGCAGATGAGGTAGAAAGATTATTTATATGATTTGGTGATGTATAGGATGAATCTAAATTACCATTTACATTTGACGGTGAATTAATAGATGAATTTGAATATGGTAAATTTTTTGTTGGATCAGTTGTAGAATTAATTGAATGATGATTGTTTAATGAATTAGGATCATTTGTTATTGCTGAATTATCATTCAGTGTTGATGATGGTGAAGTCGATGGTTTAGTCAATTCATGTTTCGATGGTGAAATACTTCGATGTTTTGAAAGATCTGACTGAGGAATTGATATATGCATATCTGCAGGCTCATAGGTATGATTTATTTCAGCACTGATATTGTCAAGTAAATCATGGTTTGTTTTAATGTTGGCGTTTAATGAAGCAGAAAAGCTATCTAATTCGGATGGCGACATAGTTGGATCTATAAGAGAACACAAAAGAAAACGGAGGAAAATTGGGAATTGAAATTCTTACGAAAAAACTCAAATGTTTAGTGGTATAAATGACTGAAATGTCATAACATAAAATTAATGAACATAAAAATTTAAAAATTATAGTAAGCAATGACCTCAGAACAACAGCTAACAATAAAGATGGGGCTGTAAAACGTTTCAGATTTTGTGAACATTAAGCATAGCTTTCTAGCATTTGGGTAAGGGATACATTTACAATATTTTACTCGACACTGATTTAAGGCGGAGGTTGTGTGAGAGACCCTATCATAGTGTTCAGAAATCCGATAAGATGGGAAAAAACTGAATGTACTTCCTTGAGTACAGTCGATTTCGAGCTACACTTCTAAATGCTTACAATCACAGTTTAAAGTAGTATATGAAATTCAAACAGGAAGTACGTGTCTACTTTCAATATTTAAACTACTGGTGGCACATCTTGTATTTAGTCTTTGTCAGTTTACCATATATACTGGGTAGTGAGTCAGTTATTCATATATTGTATTTGTTTTATCATGTTAGAAGATATTCTCAGACGAGTCAGAAATATCACGACTAAATGGTTTATGTCTAGAAACTCAATTTTTGCATCGAGTCCTGAACAGCTGGAAATCTTTACATAAATACACAGTATTATTGATATATTTAAAGAGATTGGATTTACGCAGTACAACTAATCGCGAAGATCACGACAGGTCATCTAACTTTTAGCACTATTATTAAGGATTAAAGTCAGAAGATAGATTAAAATAAAACTTAATTAAATTTATCAAACATATATTAGATTTTTAGATTTTATATTGATAAATCGTTACACTTTCGGTAAACTGTACCACTGTGTTAAACCCTATTGCTATTAACTACGGCTAAATATGAAGAAATAATTATTGATTCCCATTATTACCCTTCGCAGAGAGTACGATCAATCTAGAGTACTTCATCATGGTAAAGAAATTCTCAAAATTGAGCAAAAACAATTTGGGATGGATAAAGCGAATTACTTTAAATAATGAGATGTTGTTAAAGTGTTATTTATGAATGATAAAAATATTTTTAATTTGTGAAACACGCAGATTATAAAGAGTACTATGAAAAACATCATTTAGACCATAATGTTACCTAATACAAGAACCATATTGGTAAAGATATTTCACTACGAATATCGTATGAATTAAAATCAAGACTAAGAGTAGATAGAAAGACATTTTGACATGTATTGCAGTTTTACAGCTGCTAAATTGTAGTTGAAGAATGAGCAACCAAAACAAAATTACCGACTAATATTCAGAATTTTGAAAAGTAGTAAACAGTTGGAATGACATACTTGCTTTCAAAGATGGAAAACAAATGGATTCATAACCTACACTACCTTAAATAACACACTGCTGAACTTCAATATTACATACCCTGCGTTATCCAAAGCAACATCAAACAAGAACAAAATGATCTAGTCTACATTCACAAATCTAACTGCCCATCCGAAAACACCAGAAAAACTTAGTCTCATTAAAAATGCTTAACGTGACTGGGAAAATGAACAATTAAATTAGCCAATCTTCTCGAGTTATCTCATGTAATGAATGCAAACCACCAAGTCGAAAAAACACCCGCATGCATTAATATAGTAACAAGAAAGTATGCAAGAGTTGCTTTTAATAAGGCATACCAGAGCCCTATTCTCATTTCAAGCTCTACAACTAGCACTGGATCACAAGAATAACTATTCTTTTTTACTTGTCACAATGTAAGACCTTAAACAAGATGTGACTCACTAAATCTATTATCATCAATTGTAAGGCGGTTGGAGGTGGTCTATAGGAAACACTGGATCTAGATTTCATACAAAACCCCAGTCACAAACATGTAGTACTTGGAATCAATCGTGAGGGACTGATGCTCTGCAGGATTTGAATTCGTATCATACAGAGAAATAATCTGAAATACTACCACTGTGCTATTAGGATAGTAACTGATCTCTTGGAGAACTGAGATATTTACAATTGACTTGTTAATGGCCCTGCAACCAATCAACTGTAAATTACCATTAATTTTTTAAACTTACTGTTGATCTATACATTTTCTAAGATGTGAAACAAATTTCTTTCTTTATCCTAAAATCCTAAACGCAACACACATACATTCAGTAATCCTTCTAACAAACTACAATAACCACCAATTTTGTCATCCTCGAATTCATGCGTTTAAAAATAATTTCTATTAACGGTAAGTCCTAAAATGAGATTATATATATATATATATATATATATATATATATATATATATATATATGGGTATATGCATATATCTTACATTTTCGAAGTATCTAGAAACATTAATTGATTGCGCAACTCAAAAATACTTGGGGAAAAACATACCTAGAAAACTAATGACCAAAAGTCATCTAGTAACCAAACAAACTGTCCCTACTATAATCTATAATTTTTGTATAAAATATTAGCGGTATGCAACTGAGAACCAATTATTTGCATATATAAACAGGAGTAGCATCTCATAACCAATATTACGTATCTACCAATCAAAAATGAAACACAACTATAAATTAAAGCATGAGAAAGTAGAACAACTACTGACAATTGTTTTGTTGAAGATTAAGTTGATCCAAGGATAGGGATTTTCACCATACATTAAACTTGAAACACATAATTTTTAATGAAAACTACTTTCGAATTACAAACAGCTAGTAATTACTAACTAGTACGAGAGTTGATTGTTTTTTTTCATAATGCAATGTCATCGACTATAAAACTATTGAAAATCACAGTGCTAGAGATAACTATATATCGTTTTCATTTAGGATTTTAGTAATGTGAATTAGAGACTCTAGACCTTAAATGTCGGTTACAAATAAAATTCCCTTTCAATAATACAAAACCTTGACAAAAGCATCAAAGTAATGACCACTTCACATGGTTTATAGCAGCTCACGTACATTTGAGTTTGTTCACATTTAATTCGGTTAAGACCTGTTGTAAACTTATTTAACGAACAGAGTCGTTCTTACAATAACAACTTATCCATACCATTGTACCATGAATATCTTTGCGTTTGTATGAATATGTATGATTGAGCATTGCTTACCGCCTACGCACATATTCATTCTGTTAACTTTAGTGTTAGTAGCTTAAATGATTCGATGGCTCATTCTTTTCCCTATGTATATATATGCACATTTTAATCTTATTCATTTTTGCCTCGCACACTCTCTCACTTACTTGCTTTTCGGCATTGGCGTTTCATTCTTGTTTCGCGTGCCTGTGGATTTGGTGATCTGTGCGTCATGCAATAATAAACGCGATCAACACTTCGTACTCGTCTTCTGATCTATACACCGTTGGAGGTGTTATCTTGTAACGGTTATCAGAACGAACAGCATACGAAGTTTAAGAATACTATCGAATGACGACCACAACAAGTTCATTTACAAGTGATATTACAATTCACTTAACTATTTTTTGTCATATAACTCATGTTTAGTGCTGTCCTAACACCTTTCTTCGTTAAGTTGATACAAATTGATCAAGTAAGGATTGAGTGGAAAAATGTTCATCTATGGAGAAAGGTGTCGTGTTATTTAAGCGTATGTTCGCATATCTATTAGTGGAGAGAGGAATCAATTGATAACCCGAAATGGGACAAATTTAAGAAGCAATTCCATTACGCAAAGTGATAATAAAGGCTAAGTATTAGAAGGTAGTTCAGATGAAATGTAGACAGCCAAGTCTTTACGGACTCAGATATAAATTTATAATGAATGCACAAAATCAATGAAGTCTGATTGCAGGGTATTCGCCTCCAAATACATATCATGATTTGTGATTTACCAAAAGATTTTTTCTCAGAAATCTATTCGCTACTTAAGTGTTTACTAAAACAGTAGTATATATGTATACCACAACTACGATAAGTGTAAACGGTGGTACAGATAATTAAAGTTAAAACTATTTAAATGAATTAATGTTCAATAATACTAGAGTTTATCGATCACTGGGAAAATGAACCCAAATGACATGGTATTGTAGTGTGCTACAAACAGTAAAACAAAATTCAAAAATATCTAATAAATGGCATTGAAAAAGAAGCTTAACCTTACCAGTTTCAACACGTGAGTCTAGTTGATCCTGTGGTAGTAAATAACATGTGAGATACTGTTCTTGAGTAACAGGATCCACATCTCTTTGTAACGTAATAACTGGTTGAGATTGATTCTGTGAAAGCCATAAAGCTGTCAATGAGCATCTTGATAAACTAAACGGTAAACGATCAAGTCTAGAAAGTAATTTCAATAATATAAGAATTATTTCAATAAATAAATACAACCATAAACTAAAAAGAAAGAATACTCTCTAAGATAGAAATCAAGCACAGTTAACATATTAATCGACCTTTACTGAATGTGATTTGGTATACATTTGCCGTGAATATAAAAAGTGACTGAAACATCGTCGTGTAAGGAAATGATTATGTTGAAAAATTAAACTCAGGGATGACAATTAAATGAGTACACAAATATAAATTAAAGAAAATGTTATGATAAGGAATAAGTGGTAACTTGAATCAGATTGCTCGTATTAGATTATTTGTTCTATCTTATTCGGGTCCAATTAATGTTAACGGAAAGGAAGACTATGATTAAAGTCTATGGCCAATCAGTGGAATTACATGAAGTATACCGTTTAATATATGTAGTTATAACCAGTCTAAATCTAACCATTTCATTATGAATAATAAATTTATATTCAAGGTTTCATCCGAAAAGTTTTTTATAAACGGGTGGATAAGTATATAGTATGTTAACCTTGAACGGATTTCATGTATTTTGAAATAAATTTTTGATTGTTACGCAACTGAATAGCAAAACTGTTAATTCAGCCAAGTATCAAAAGCTTCTGCCGTGCACATGGACACGTATAAGCTTGTCAATGACAGGTGTACTTTGTTTTACCTCACTCTTTCTGGACAGTTAGCATATTCGAAGATATGACAATATTATCACTGTAACAATTGTTGAAAAATACATATAAACCTACCTATTCCCAGAAACATCCAAAACTCGTAAACGTGTACAATTACCAATTTCATTAGGTAATCTATGCAAATTATTTTCTCGAAGAGACAAAATATTAAGTGATGCACATTGACCAATCTATAAAATTTGAAGAAAAAAAGGTGAAGTAGAATTAAAATATATGGAACAAAGAGACAAAAGAGACGAACAAACCAATAAAAATAAAAAAACTCAATGAATACACCATATAATAAACTTAAAAAATCAGACAAGTTGAATAACTAAATCGTTTGTACTAGGCTAATATTAGTGAATATTAATTAACTCACTTACCAGTTACTTGAATATAAGCCACACTTTAAGTGTCAGGGATAATTATACTAGTTGGTTGTTCAAACTGACATAAGTGTAGAAGGGTTCGACCCTGGAGCTTGAGGGTTGAAAGTCGAATATCTTAACCACTAAGTCATTGTTATATATTACCATCATGTATTATTGTGTACAGTCCGTCCAGTTGTTGGTTCAGTAGGATAGTTTACAACGAATAAATAAATAAATAAAATGTATGCACTATAACATTCACATAAAAGATTCACACTTTATTTATGGTTGTTAGTGTAGTTAAATCAGTTCACTGACACTTTTATGTAGGACAAGGAAACCGAATTGGATAGAGCAACAACAACAAAACAAAAAAAACCTATTATTGCTACAAGTAATACCACTACTATTATCAATACAACTGAATCTATTTAATAGTACTACACACAAAATCAATTACAATTACTATCTGCTTCCTGAATACAATACAAAGAAATTTGTGGCATAGAATGAATAATTAGGTCATATGTTGTGACACTTCGTATATATATATATATATATATATATATATATATATATATAGAGAGAGAGAGAGAGAGAGAGAGAGAGTAGTGTACAGTAAATACATTTAGTGAAACTAACATCTATACGAAACATTATCGACAATTTAAGGTAACATGTAATAATATCTAATTGCTAGAAGTTAATTCTGTTTGTAGTAAAATTACAGATTGGTTGAAGATCTTTCTTTTACAGGTCAAGTTGAATCATGTCTGAATTTAAATAAAGAAAATAAAAGTTATGGAATTCATTGCACGCAGAATGAAAAGATAAGTGTATATGATATACTTTAACTTGATAGATCAACCAGTGTTGAATGTTGTTAGAAGTATGAGGATGGTTATCACTTCCCGTACTGTGGGCGGGTTTTTCTCGAGATACCTGAAAAGGAAATAGGATTAGAGGTGGCCTTAGTGACCTGAGAGAGTGACCCCAGTACGCAAGAGAAAATTGCTTAAGGCCGGTCATACACGAACTTTTTGTGGGTAATTCTCTTGTTAGCTCCGTACTTGTGGTGACCGTACCGACGAAGACGGACATTCGTGGGATAAGGTAAGGTGTGCATTTTTAGGGTCAACCTATTCTAACCCAATCTTTCCTTTGTGGAAAGACAGGATAGCTGTTATGCCCGTCGTCTGAGGGAAACACCTTACTGCCATCACACTTGTGAACATTCAGCAGTACGACTTCGCCCTCGAACCTTAGGTTTTAGTTTTACCGCTCTTCAATCATATTATTATCAGTTAAACATATAAATATTGGTACAACGAGGCACCAAATACATATGCGCCACACGGATCTCATTTGATATGTGTGAGGGCTGTAATACTGCCCGGGTGCCCAAACCGAAGCAGGTGGTTTTCTTAGGGGTCACACTTCCAGCCTTTGACCTACAGGTCTGATCCACAAGGCAGTGGAGCATCGTAAGGAGATGCAGTCCCATGGCATCTGGTGACCAACGATTGGTTCATACGCCATTTGTTCCTTCAGGATACTGGAGCCCATCTGCACCATTGGTTTCGAATCAGGGTTTTCCAACCCCCGTAGGTGGACTCTCCATGTCCACCAACCCGGTGAAAGCGCCTGACATTCGCTTTTGTTTTCTTAATTTCGTAAACAACACCCTCGCCACGAGACGGTAGTGAGTAGGACTTCTCTAGTAGTGGTTGTATGCACGTGGCCATGTGAGAGGATTTCGAGAAGGAAAGCTGACTCTCCCCACTCTCGGCCGTACCAGGGCATTTGAGAACCTTTTTTGCTCTTCAACCAACCTATCTGACATGACAGGACATTAAGGAACCATTGTTCAAGCCAGTATAACCCAATTGGTTTATCACGATAGACAAGCCTGACCACCATGTGAAGGTAGCGGCAACGGTCGGGAACTCATCTCATCTAAGCGTAGAACTTTATACTAACAGCAAAAGTAGTCCGCAAAATTGAACACATTCAATCATTGGTTACTATAGACAATTTAGATAAATTCATGTATTGTTAAGACCTTATTATCAGAGTATTATAATATCTTGTCGAAGCATAACTACTAGATGCTCACCTGCATTATGAATAACATCGATGGAATGGTGATTAGCTCTAGTGAAGCTTCAACCATGAAAAAATACAGCGAAAAGTAGTAGGCTAAACAGTAAACCTATATTGTATTTCAGTAACTTGGAGGAAATGTCATATAAAGCATTGTCAGAATTTATAAATACAAATCCTTACTAAATGATTTCATTTTGAGACAAATTTGGCTAATCAAGTCTATTATTATCAACAATTAGAATATCATTGTATGAAGTTGTTTCCAATTAAATACTTCATTACAAAACTACTGTAATATCAATTATTATCTCGAAAATAAACGTGGTAAGACAAAAGAAATACATATATTTGTTATATTTAGTTATTCTAAGGTCGTAGTTTGTATCGAATACACTTCAAGGCAAAGAAATAGTGAATACTGTTATGACAGAACGAATATTGTAAAGATTGGAACAGGTTTTTTGAATCATTAACTATAATTTTGTTGTATAATCACTGAGTAACTAGATCAATATATACATATATTCCACTTATCATAAGCTTTCGGCTGACTCATTAACTAATGTTGTGAGATATGCTATTCCTAATTTATTGCCTGTCTATTACTCACAGTCCCCCCTGTTCACTAGCACTTTTGGCTTGTTCATGTACAATGGTTATTTCTCATTTTATGGTGTGGTACCGTCTGGTATGCCCGTATGTAAACCACGTCCGTTTAAAATATATATTAGAAGTTAATTGATGACTTTTTGACTTTAAGAAAGGGCTTTCGAATAATGAACCAATAGGAACCTAGCCGCCGGCTCAAAGTCAGTAGTGCTGGTCGAGCGTGTAGTTGGCTAATTTAGAGATACTAAACTATAGAGTAAATAATAGACCTAGTGAGAACCAGGATTCTGATTGGTGATTTGGCGAGTGATATTTGTCAACGGGTATTCAAGACATAAAAATACTACCCACATAATAATCAAATATTGTGCTTCTCAACCACAGATTCATTTGCCAACTAACCTGACTCCAAGGAACAATCGTTCCAACCAATCAGGGATCAAGTGAGTCATCAAAGTAGAGGAGCTCCAATACCATCTATGGTCACAGAAGGTGGTTAACAGGTAGTCATTGACACTTCGATAGTTATATGAAACACAAACGGTCAATACAAATGGTTGTAAAACTTCAACTGGGAAAACTAAATCAATTAGATACACAACTGACTAGGAATAATCATATCATATTTACCCATATTATTTGTTTGAATAGAGAAACCTGATAGAGTGTGGACAACACCCAGAACCATCAGCTCCAAATGTTCCCAAGTCAAGCATCGTGAACGGCATAACACAACCAACAAACTAAGCAAGCTAAGGTTTAAATAGTAACTACTATTTCTTTAACGAACGTTTAATATGCATTTTTGTCGAAATACAATTATGTATTGACCTATTTAACTTGGCTTTAAGTAGATAATATTCGAAAAAATGCTACATTTTAAAAGGTATGCGACGATATATATATATATATATATATATATATATATATATATATAAAGAGAAAGAAAGAAATTTGATTACTTGATAAGTTATTAGGTTAACGAGTATCGGTTATAATCAATCTGCATGAAGCATATATTACATAAACATAACAAAGAATGTGTTTATTTAAAATTTACATTGTCATCACTACTTTTGGTACTATGTTACACGATTCACGTAATTTCATGAGAAAAGATAGTTCAGTGGAATTAAATGCAGTGATAATCAACTAATTTGATGAGAGTTTACCTCATTATGAATCAATATCACTAATAATTAGTAACTAGTGACGAGATAAACTTCCTCCAGTTTCATTGAAAAGTCATGCTACATGAAGTCAACTAAATTGAAAGCGACGACATACGGTCGACGATGATAGTGAATAATAGTCACAAGCGACAGGTTAATGCTCAAGGCGTTCGACATTTAACCACTAAGTCGAGGGTTAGAGCCCCGCACTACCAGCTTCGATTTCGGCAACCGAGTATAACCACTAGTCCTAATGCATAAAGTGTGGCTCAAAGTCAGGTATACAAATCTACGCCTGGTTAATGAGTTAACGATAATGATAATAAATAGTGAACTTCAGAAATCAACTGAAATGTTAAACAGTTGTATAAACTAGTAGATGTTCTGGCGCTTGAAGCGATAGTATTGGGTCTGGGGTTCACAGTCAACATCCTCATAGCTACAAATACATTTATTTATTTATGTGAACACATAAATATTGGTACAAAGAGGTACCGCATACATATGCGCCACACAAGTTACTTGATTTGTGTGAGCTGTGATGTTGTGATACATCCAGCTAACGAATCCTAAATGCAATGAAATGCACATCCTGGATTTGATCAACAGCTCTGTTGTATACACATGTTGCAATTTACATACAAATCAATTTCACCAATAATAATAAATCAAAGATGCATTAATATCTTCGAGGTTTTTAAAATAGCATTTTGTTTGAAATGTTTTAAACTTTTTTCTAATGCATTGGACTGGATAAGAATATGGAACCCATTGACTAACACTCCAGAGCTCTATTCATCAGACAATACGGTCTTGACATGCTTTATCTATATTAGGTAAAGAATGTCTAGGAAATGTATTACTTTTTTACTTCTTCTAATACTTATTTTTACATGTTTAGTCTGATGACACATGAGACCTATGTAAAGAAATCCCTTAATAAAAGCAGAATCAAAGGCAACTGAATTCGATGGAAATAAGAAATAAATAGGAATCATAATAATAAAAGAGAAAGCAAATGCATTATAAAAGGAAAATATTCAGACAACATCAATAGCAGTAGTGAGAAAACAAAACGCTAAAAATCTCTTACCTCAGAGGGTAACTCAGTCAATTGATTTTGATCAACATTCAGATGAAACATGGAGACTAAATTGCCAATAGAAGACGGGAGTTTCTGAAACGCATTTAGTAATATAGAAATACATTGATATAATGATACACACCAATAAATAATTACGTCTAAGTGCACTATACTGTAAGTTACAAGCATATGCAAACTTTATGAGCTAGGTTATCTCTGTTAGTTAGGGCTGTAAGTTTAACGTTGTCACATATCACCAAAACATTTTGCAGTGCCCAGTAGATTGAAATAAAAATTTGAAAGACAATCGTAGTCTACTCATATTATTTTAAATTTAACTGTCATCTGTTCAAGTTATATATTGGAAGACAGCCGAGTTTGTTGCAGATATACATTCACACACTACATAAAAATCTCTGTAACATTGATGGAAATCCATAAGAATTATTCTAATCACTGTAGTAACGAAATGGATAGGTCTCATAAATGAAAAGCAAATCGATCAATTAGAAAGAGAGAGAATGTAACTGAAAAATGACTAATGCAATATAGCTAACTAAGCTCAGTCAATTATCAGTACTTCACTAAACACCAAGCAATAAAGATTTTGTAACTTTCCTAATAAATTCGCCGATTATGGAAAATAGTAAACTATTTACAGGTGATGAAAATTTGTTTAAACCCAAGAAGCATACTTGTGTACACGGTAGGTATTCAAGAAAATTTTAAAAATAATCGAAATGAAAGAAAAATCCTAGAACTATCAGGTAGTAACAAGTTATTAGATGTCACAAGCGAACATAATCATTATGATGACTTTAATTTAAAAGAATAATTATTTTGTAACCAGCTACCATGGGAAAAACATCAAATACACTTCAACCATATACCTACATTAAGAAAACATATCTTATGCAGAACGCCGTCATAAAAACTGAATCGATATAATTTATTTCTGTAAGGTTATGGTGACTTAATTCCAGCACATAAATTGCAAATATTCTCATGAGACTAACGGTTTGACCTACACAAGTTTGTCATGTTATATACACATATATAATCAAAATGTGTGATTAACAGGTTAATATAAACCAGTTTTGGTTGATAGTAAAATATAATACGTTTAAGTCAGAAAATTCTTTCCCTACGGCCTTCATGAAATTAATTTCTGTGACAAATATTTTCATTCATTACACATCATGAGTGTATGTTGTTCGATTGGTTCAAGTAAATGAAAATAATGAAATAATCCGAAATTTTATCTTGATAATATTTTTATCGATACACAAAAAATTCTTAGAGAAAGAAATAATATTTATTGAAGTACACCCATGCAACAATTTAATTCAGTAAAGGAATCCTTTCCAACAAGCTCATTTCCAAAGCTATACAATCGTATATATTATAAGTCAATGAATAATTAATTGCATATCTGTTAGAATGTGACTGGTAGTTCTAGGAAATATTAAATAAGAATGATTGGTTCAGCGAAGAGTCAGGCTGGGGATAAACTCCACGTTTTTAAGTCATATAAGTAAATGGAAGTCAGCAAGTGCTGTTAGATTTTCATTGATTTAGTTACTCAATTGTAGATATTTTAGAATATTTTCTAATATAGAATTAATTGGAGGTAAATCTTTTGCTAGGTTGCAATCTTTCTTCCATATCATAACTGACTGATCTATGGTTGACACGTCTGTAGCATGATGGAGTGATATTTTCGTCGCAGAAAACTTAACATTCCTCATGTAAGTCAGGAAAACGAGATAACGAAACATGGAGACCAGCATGGATTACAAAAGAGCAAATAACATATCCTGCCTCCTTTGGTTGGTTACCAAGAGTAAGGTCAAAACTGAGGACGAAAGTATAATTTATCTTAACCCAAGAGTTCCCTTTTCCGCGAATTCATTTTCAAAGCTGTTCAAAGTCATCTACAGGGTAAGTAGAAAGCTTCCAAAGACAGCTATATTCCATCTTTTTAACATTACCGAAGCACTACCTATACATTTGGAAAAACTAGAATTATGTGTCCAGACGAAACCTGCACAACCTTTCCTTCTACCATGGTCATAATCTCTCGTGATTTCTTCTTTTTTTAAATCCATCTTCTCAATTAACCTTCAACCTCCAACTGATATATTTAGGTTTCTATGATCTTTCTGATTATAGTTCATCTCAATTTCAACATTTTATCATACTGAGTCTTCTCTTCGCAATTATAATTTTCTTATTTTTCTTCATGATGAATATTTAAGATCCCAGAAACAAAATTACTAATAGTTTCCTTAATAAAAAGGACATTTTTGTACTCTTGTTTATTCTATCTCACTGTTACTATGTTTAACAGAATTTTATCACTATCATTGTAATTATTATCGTTTTGAAGAATAGGTATATATTTGCAACTGTACAGCTTTGAAAATGAATTTGCTGAGAAAACTCTTTGTTGAACCAATCTTTCGTGTTTTATATTTCAATGGGTATATTTCGTTTACCATATGAAATATGGCTACGTAATTTTATTCTATTGATCATATATTTCTCATGTTTTGCAAATTCTCTCCTTCAATATTTTGTTTAGGAAAAAATTATGTAGTCAGATCTTACAGAATAGCTAATTAAACTCCAACATATATACAATTAATTATTTGTTGATCTATAATTTATCATATATAATATATACGATTGTACAGCTTTGAAAATGAACTTGTTGGAAAAGATTCTTTTCCTGAACATAGTTATTTTATAAAGAAACAATATTGTATTATAATTTGACTTAAGACCATAAAAATTGAAGATTATGAGTGAGTACTCTTGAGGAGACTTCAAAATATTACGAAACAAGTGTTCAATGCTACCTGATTTTCAGATGATTTTCCAGTTGATGTCAGTTTATGATCAAAGCTACAATTAAGTTTTAAAAAATTTCACAAGACGATTTCAATTAGACACATTATGAAGACAATCTTCTATATACAAAATGTTATATTGAGCATAGGTACACTGATTATTAATAAATACTTACAGAAAGAAAATTTTCAGTTAAATATAATTCTTGTAAACTGGAACAGCTGAAATTAACAAAAGAAAGGTGTATTTTTTATAAATAAAATTTAATATTGAATGATGAACATGACCAAAATGATAAAATTGCCATTTAATTCGTCAAATAGAAAGATATGCATTACGACAACAAAAGTAATATCTATCTCATGGTGAGCAATTTAGAAATATAACTTTTACACAACGGTTAGTGGTTTATGCACGAGAATTTCCATCAATGCGTTTCGACATCAAGCGTTACCTCAATTACGTCAGTTTAGTCAGTCGGGCAATGTCATCATAGCTACTACAAATATACGTATCCCATAGTTTAGTACATGAGCGTGTAATAGGTTCGTTTAGTGAGAAAACTTTCTCATACTTATTGAGTTCCAGCTAAGCGGGTGTGCGAATTATCCATCATTATCACGATAGTCAGAGTTTTGTGAAGTAAATGAAAAAGTACATCCACTACAAATGAAGTATTTTTGGTACTTATTCGAACAATAAAAAATCCAAACCTTAAGGACCTAGGATTATACAATAACAAGAAAATTACTCGTAAATACCACACCTGAAGAAGACATATTAGATAGGAAACTCAAACGCTTCATCATAGTCTTCACAATGGTCAATCAATGGATGAACGTTATGACACGTTCTCCTTTTAAGTGAGTAGCTACAGAAATAAAATTGACTCAAAATGTGGAAGTACTATGTAGAAAAAAACAATACCTCAAAGAATTTTTCAGTGTGCGGTACCGAATGTAGGCCTAATGAGATATATTCATTGACCAGGACAACTCAGTGAGACGCAGATCCAAACAACGATTAGCACAAGTAGTGAAAACAACAAATAAAATTATTGAGTCAGGATAATAACCGATTTAAAAGGAAACTCTCACATTTGATTTTGTTTCTAAATCTATTTTTCCTAACAATATTGTCTAGTATGCTGATAAAAATCACACAGTTAAACTAATTAACGCACAAAAGTAAAGTGTTAACGAAATCATGCATATATGTGCCAAAAAAGTGTTAGTTTAGTAGAAACAAGGATTTAAAAAAGGATCAAAGATGATAAAACGTAAAACAATCTAGCATCATAGGGAAACAGATCAAAAGTCACATGATGACAGTAAAGTCTAGTCAAGGCGAATGCATTAACAGATGAAGTGTATTTCACGTCTAAATGTAAAAGCCATTGATTTGTAATACATCAATTCATTTTGTGAACAGATATGTGAAAACATAGCACATAATATTATCAAAGACAATGCCCCCAAATGCCCTGGTACGGCCGAGAGTGGGGAGAGTCAGCTTTCCTTCTCGAAATCCTCTCACATGGCCACGTGCATACAACCACTACTAGAGAAGTCCTACTCACTACCGTCTCGTGGCGAGGGTGTTGTTTACGAAATTAAGAAAACAAAAGCGAATGTCAGGCGCTTTCACCGGGTTGGTGGACATGGAGAGTCCACCTACGGGGGTTGGAAAACCCTGATTCGAAACCAATGGTGCAGATGGGCTCCAGTATCCTGAAGGAACAAATGGCGTATGAACCAATCGTTGGTCACCAGATGCCATGGGACTGCATCTCCTTACGATGCTCCACTGCCTTGTGGATCAGACCTGTAGGTCAAAGGCTGGAAGTGTGACCCCTAAGAAAACCACCTGCTTCGGTTTGGGCACCCGGGCAGTATTACAGCCCTCACACATACCAAATGAGATCTGTGTGGCGCATATGTATTTGGTGCCTCCTTGTGCCAATATCTATGTGTTAAAATAAATAAATAAAATCAACTTGAAACCTGACACAAATATGCACCGAGCTTAGCTGTAAGAATTTACATTAGCACAGAAAGAAAACTGACATTTAAAATGCGGAGTGAGAGCAAATATGTCGGTACAATAAAATCATTAAAAAAGGTGCAGCTAATTCACAGAAAGAAATTGTCACACACTTCAAATGATCAACACTGAGGATCAATTATTTTCACTTTGAATATGTAATAATTTTTAACTTACTTTCCTATAGTTGGTGTTACTGTTAACAGTCGATTTTGGTTGAGCTTTAAAATGATCAACTTGTCTAAATCACCTTAAAAAGGAAAATAACGATAACAGGTATATATATATATATATATATATATATATATATATATATATATATATATATATATATATATCAGATAAAACTTTATTATCAATATGATAATCCGAGTAGAAGGTACTCTACATGAATGTTGACCACAGAGGTAACACACATATTGGAGAGGATAATCGCAAACGCCTTCAAAAGAACATTCTTCGCAATGATCCTGGGAAAGATATTTACGAAGATCATAAACAATTAACCCTTTCAATATCTGCTAGTCAATTTACCTGTTCCTGTAGGGCAGTATATATTAGTCGTTCGGTGAGCATTTATTTCACGAGCGTTTAGAAAACGTACTCTGAATGGTTAAAGAAACGTAAAAGTGGCTGCACAAGAAGTGTAGTTATAGAATAGCTTGTCAATACCGACCATGAAATTAGAAGAGGTTCAGTTTGCAAGGTCCTTTACAGTTTGAACACAAGACTACTAAAAACGATGTTTTTATCTATTTGCTATTGTTGAAACTCTCATTATGTACAAAGAAGCTCGAACTATGGATACGAAATAAACTTGTCCGGCATCCTATCTTACCATGAACTGGACGTATAAAACTTTTAAATATTAAGTTTTGTCTACACTTTATTTGTTAGATTTTACAGATCATCATTGCTCTTCATTAATTTATTGAATTTGTAATCCAACCATTTACTTTTGTTTGAGTGATCATCTCTGATATATTTTATTTTCGATGTTTATATCACTATGCTGAGTATACAGATTCAATAATTATCATTTTCTATTTACTTTCTACAAAATTCTTAATTCAACTTTGATTCAACAACTAAATACGAGTGAAAATTTTCGTAGTTAACTTTTGTCGCTGTAATTAATCATTGCCACTATAGACTATCATTGTGAAAATATATACATATGGAATTATCAAAAAGAGATCTTTTCAATGAACCATATTCTTGATTCGCTGTTCAACCGTGAAAAATAATTTCAGTTAGGTTAAAACTTATCTAAGTTTAAGTACTCAAGTTCGAAAGAATGGCCTGAGGGTTTGATTACTTGGGAAAATTTAAACGGTTACATATAATATATCTTTATGTAATGTTTATGCGACTTATAGTTCAGTATTTAAACAAGTAGCATTTACTATGTATTAAGTCAGACCATTGAACAAGTAATATACAAATTAGATAGAGAAATTAACATGAGTGTCGGAATATTCGGGAATAATGTATTTCTGAACTTTGGAATATTTTCTCATGTTGATGACAATATGCAAATAGTTTGATTACTTTAAATCCACAAATATTGATATTATTAGCTCGTCTCTAACGTCATTAGTTAAATCTTTGGAAGTTAAACATCAGACCAAGCTGTAAAAATCAGAAAAATATAAAAATGTTCTCAGGAAAAATATAAAAACACTTCATTTTCTTGTACATCAATTAGAATAATCAGTACTTTTGCCCGGTATCTGACAGCAGATATCAAGATGAAAACGTCTACTGATAAAATCTCAAACTAAGGGTCTTTGGGAAAAAATAATTAGTTGACTACAAACTCATTTAATTCTGTTTGACATTTAACGAGATCAGTAAAGATAAAGCTGTGCAGGTTATTTATAAAAATAATAATCATAAATTACAATTCCTTACCTAAGCCATTTGGTAAATGTGTTATGCTATTTTGTGATAAATTTAAGTCCGACAGTGAAACTAATCCCGAGATGCTTTCAGGCAGAGTAGAAATAAGGTTTTCTGATAAATCCAACTGTTGCAAATTCCCAAGATTTCCCAACTCCTTGTAGTTTGGTTTTTTCATATACCAAAACACAAACGTAATGTGAAGCGAAGGGAAAATAAATGAAACAGAACCGTTTATGTATTAAAATCTACGGTTGGTCCTTTGTTTTATATAAAAGAAATGTATGCATAACACAACTGTGAAGAGACAAAATAATACAAGAAACAGAAATGTTTAGCTTCCCCTCACCACCAGTATAATTAATGGTTGGAGGTGGTGGGTGATATGGCTCAAAATCGGTCACAATGGTCCAGATGGATTATCTGTCTCCCCTCAGATCATGAGTTCTAAAATAATCTTACACTAGTTATTCAGTAAATTCATTCTTTACTCCCGAAATATATTGCCTGCGCATAATCTTTTTTACTACTGCTGACACTTACTACTTCTATTCTGGTACTAGTCGACTTAAACACAATTGGCATTATGTAAATTCTTTTATCCATATATTTGAAATAAACTTAAAATAGAAATTACACATCCATGAAACACCTAATAAATTAGTAATTAATCTGTAATGATTAATACGGATAAAAAAGGATGGGTGGTAGATCTTATTCATAGTCAGCAAATCTAATTAGTATGTTCAGGGTCTAAGAAGAAAGCGTTTAACAACAGACTTTCCGGAATATTCCAGGTCATCAGCTGAATCGTGTATCATAGAAGGTGAAGATCCGGTGTAAGACTAGTTGTCCTTACAATCCAGTCTTTATTTGGTTACTAATGAGTTTGACGTTACAGAAGCTTACAGAAGACGTCAAGATCGATTCCATAAAAAACACGGCCAAATGAATTGCAGGAATTCGGAAAGTTATCTAGTTTATAGTTGGGAATGTGGCCTATCTCATTGTTTTTAATTTCGAGGCGAAATCATGCCTTCACCAACAAATAAAGTTTAGCTCACACTGCCTTAGGTAGAAATACGAAATCATGACAACTACTCACTCCGGATGCAACGAAAATACTTTGAGTTAACGCACACTAAGACAAAACCCTTTAACCTACTGGCGATATCAAGGACAATCCGCACAGGGTGCACATATATCAAAAAGAACGGATTATTCGCAGTCCTAAACATCAATATATATATATATATATATATATATATATATATATATATATATATATATATATATATATATATATATCAGTCAGTCAGTTACAACGTAGGACCAGGCACATTTATGCATCGGTCCAAGTTGCCATACCTCATTAACATAACAAGATGGACACCGGATTCATAAAAGTAGTTAATTCAGAGGTGGTAATACATAAAAGAAAGATTGCAATAAGGATATAGTACAGGAAGAAAGAATTAGTTCGTAGAACCCGACCGTTGTTGCTACCTTGACGTGATGGTCGGGCTTGCCTATCGTGATGAAGCAACCGAGCTATACTGGCTGGAACAACTGTTGCTCAAGGTCCTACCATGTCAGACAGGTCGGTTGAAGAGTGGTAAGACTAAAAGCAACAAACCCAAGGTACGAAGGCGAAGTCGTACTGCTGACTGTACAGAGGTGTGACAGCAGTAAGGTGTTTCCTTCAGACAACCAGCATGACAGCGATGCTGCCTTCCCACAAGGAGGGGTGGGGTTAGAAAAGGTCGACCCTGAAAATGCACACCTCGCCTTATCCCACGGATATCCGTCTCCGGCGGTAAGGTCTCAACAAGTACGGAGCTAACACAAAAATTACCCATAAAAAGGTCGTGTGTGACCGACCACAAGCAGTTGTCCCTTGGGCACTGCGGTCACGCTCTCAGGTCACTAAGACCACCTCTAATCCAATTTCATTTTCAGGCACCTCCAGAAGAACCCTTCCACGGTGTGGGCGACCGGGAAGTGATAACCGCCCTCATACCTTTAACAGCACTCAAGATATATATATATATATATATATATATATATATATATATATAAAGCTATTCCAGGCAACACAGTATCACAATAATCAAGAGATTCTAGTAAAAACTATGAATTATGAAGTAATGGGTGTAGAAATAATATATAACCAATTTAGAAATTCTCATGACGTTTAAGTAATTTGAAAAGGGTTTTTAAATTATGTAGAAAAACTGGTAAATGTGATATTTTAGACGGTACCAATTCTCAATGAGGTGAACAGAAGTTACTACTATTTGAGCAACCAGTACCGAACATCATAACAAATCAGCCATGAATGTAAAAACACACAAAATGAAACCATTGGTCGACATACTGAATTGAAAGATCACTCACATTTGTAACATTATAAGGTTAAGCAATGACTTGTATGTATTACCATGTGACCTAAGAGTATATCGCTCAGACTAGCCACACATCTAAACAATACAGCGAGAAAGTAAAGTACCAGTGATTATAAGAAATATGATAGGAACTATAAAAAGAAGACAAGAAATTACTGTAAGAGGGGTAGTACGGAATAGCATAATTGCAAGATAAAATTGTGTTCAGCCAGGCCGCTAAAAGTATCCAATATAGGATTCTTAATACTTCATAAATCTTATTGTCTACAACTCCAATATATATAAATCAGAATGGTATATGAAATACAGGATGCATATAGCTACTACACAAAAATCTATATGCAATGCCCTCAAAAACAGAGAAATCAACAGTAAAACGCAAGCACACGAATTGAATGATAGCCACATTAAAATTCGTAAGAACCAAGAGTAGGGAATAATAGGAGTTAGTGGGTGGTGAAATCAAAATATATATAAACCACAAAAAGGTAAAAATAAATTGTTTATAGAAGAGTAACCATTCCCACAAAAAACAATTAATAAATTAAATATTTTCTCAACAGACTGGATAACAGATACAAATACATGCCACAAACGGATAGGCACATGATCATTAGACTAAGTCGCCATATCTTACTGCGGTATAATGGAAGGGAACTGATAATAGAATAAAGCAAAAGGCTAAAACTGATAAAAAATAAGTCAAAATAAATGGATGAAATTAGAGAATGAAAAGTATCAGATAATAACACGTCCAGAGCTTAGGGAAAAAATAGTGGATAATCGCAACTGAGCAACTTTAATAAACTAACTTACACCATGAGTGACTGGTACAGTTAATTTACATTAATTATTAACTGTCAAACTTCGAATATTAAGTTAGATCGACCAGATGATTTTATTTTAAAGATAACTTGTTTTTCTACAGACACGAAAGCTATCACGTTTCCCACTAGTACGTTAATAAAAATACGAAAACTTTATTAAAATAACATCTTACTTCAGGTAATGATCTCAATTCATTATCATCTATCCATAATTCGCTCAATCGAGAGAGCTGACCAATTACGGGAGACTAAATAAAAGTGAAAAGTAAATTTTTAGGAAACTAAACTCTGTAGAGCCACGAAAAATAAAATGAGATATATGTGTACATAACATAAATGTAGTTCCTGGGAAATGATACTTACCTTTTACTCACCAGTTCAAAGGATGGTTAAGTGAACTAGGCTAGTTGATATTGTGGATGTGGGGGTGGTGGCTAAACCACACACTTAATACCTGTTAAATACAAGTTCATAATGGATAAGTTTGTGTACATCACTTTCCAGCAGTTAGGTCTTATTATTACCACTAAATTCTGTATTGTAGTGTGTTTGATTGGTAAGTCAAAAGGCACAGAAATTAATCTGAAGCAGAGGATTAAGTGTAGTTTTCCTTGTAATCAGCATGTGACAACTTAACATGTTTCACATTCATGAGATAGAAAGTGTTAAAATGAGCAAAAAATTTTATAATTATACGATTTGTTTAGATGACAAAAAATGTGGGGAAAAAACTCACCAACTCTTGAAACTCATTGGCACCAAGATCAAGAAACTCCAAATGAATAAGATCAGCGAAAGAATCTGGTATTGACTTGAGACAATTATCACGAAGTTCTAATTTTTCTAGTAACTGTAAACTAAACGAAAATAAAGAAGTATTATACCACAACTAGTCTTAATAAATTTGAAGTCATTTAGATATGTTCATCAGGAAAATACAATTCTCACCCTTTGATGGCAATTACAACTTGCTTACAAGCAACAGCAGTCGGCATCCATACAAAGCTGAATGATTCTAGTGCGACCAATTGCTTCTTTCTAAACGTTTACCTAATATTACAGCTGTCAAACAACGACATAAAACCGATGGTGGACGAGAATTAACCAAAGATACTACGTGAACTATGCTGAAAAAAATATCTTTATCATACTTAGACGTAAACGAGACCTAATGCTCATCACGCTTAAACTTTCTGAAACACTAGTATACTGATAAAGCTTAGTATGACCATTTACATTAACACACATTTAGGCTAGGCTTTATGTTGAATATAACTGACTGGTAGAGCTTGGGTAGTAAGTTAATCTAGTTAATACAGAAAAAGCCTTATCGTTGGCATAAGTGATTTTTTATAGAATTGTTTCAAATCTAAAGAACAACAATGCAATCGAATTTCTCATCTGTTACTTCTAATAGCATTCAAATTGTACTATACGACACTAAGATTTTTTCAAATTTATAAGTAGCAGATCCACCCAGGTCATCGGGTTAAGTGAAAACACTGAATAAAGAACATACGAGAGGTAGTGAATAAATCAACCACAATGGATAATAAATTACATCCAATTTGTTTTTTCTTCAAAAAACCTGAGCACCTCATTGACCATCTATTTTTTCTGCAGAATCATTTGGGTTTTATAGAGTTGGTTTCAAGTGTAGAAACTTGAATTTGTGAGATTTCGTTCAACATTCCAGGCTTAGACGTTTGTCAGAACTATTCAAATAAATTTTGACCAACAGCAACAAACCAATTGGGCACGGTTAGCTTACGCATACAAGTGATTCTTTTAGGTATTTCCTTACAGATTTTCACGGAATGCAGTTGAAGTAAAACCAAATCAATAACCATATATTTTTGCTAAGGTCAGGATAATTTACGAGTCAGAAAATTATCACCCGAATAATTTAAGTTTTCAATCCCAGTCCCATGAATAAAAACCAGTTAGTCGCTTAAATTTAGTTCATTAGACTGATATTATATCAATAAGTCCTTCCACAACAGAGGTATCACGTCTTTCAATATCATCCTAGTATGTTAGGTGCTATGTTGGACACCCTTTTGAGATTTCTCTTTATGCTGCTGAAGAAACTTGAACTGATTTGCTACTATGCCGAGTTCTAATTTAGATTATTCAAGTAATTAAAAAGGATGCCTTTAAAAACATGTATAAAGTAGCACGATGTTACTATATAATTAGTAAACTGATATGATATTTCACTTAGGATTAAAAAACAAAAAAGAACCTACCTGCCTATTTCTTCTGGAAGCTCAGCAATCGAAATATCATTAAGACATAAAACTCGAAGATTGCGCAACTGGCAGAAACCAGCAGGTAAGCTGGAATTGGTAGAGTGGGATAGATGAGTTAATATAGTCGGAAAATTCAAAGCAACATAAAATGATAAACTCAGGTCATAAAGTCACATCCTATTTTGAAAAAAGAAGGTACTATGGTTTCTTTTCCGAGAAAAACACTAGCAACTGATTCCATTTGTTTTTATGAAAATACAATACATATACTTGTCTTTGTAATTCGAAACAATTTAAAGTAGGTAGGATAACAAACTTTCAGTTACAAGGTTTTAAAGTGAAGGGAACTAAAAAAGAACCGGTTAACTGCACAGACATCCGATTTCTATGCACAGTAAATTAATAATATATAGTATCCCGCAATAGGTACCACTTATTACCGTTTATATGAACATGTGGTTACACACAACATTCAGACCTTCAGTTTTGACACTGGAAAATGGAAAATAATTTGAACTTTCACTGAAAATATAAGGTGTTGAAGCATTCGAACGAAATACAGGTGGCATGAGAAATATAACTAACTATACAGTTAGTTACATTTCGACCCAGACAACCAAACTTTTACCCAACCGCAAAAATTATTACCACAACATTCGTTTAAATTTATTGCATGTCACAATTACGAACTGAATATTTGTATACCATATTTCAATTTTCGATAACCCACCTTTGCAAAGGATTATTGCTTACATCCAAACTCTGTAAAGAATCACAGAACCGAATACTAGCAGGAAGCTCAGATATATCTGGACGTATGAAGAAAGGTTAGCCGTAATCATACCATTTCTACTAATGTCCAACTCCACAAGATTAGAGAAGCTGCCAATTCCAGTTGGCAAGCGTGTTAACTCATTGTCACTCAGTGTGAGGAGACGAATGCGCTTCAGGCGGAAAAAGTTCTGAAACAAACCACAGTAAAAATCATTGAACCCATTCCATCTCAAGCAAGATTGTGTTAAAAGTAGTTTTAAATACCTTTGGTAATTCCTTGATTTGATTGGCATCTAAACGACACTCTTCTAAAGTACGAAAATTTCTTATTACATCATCTGGAACTTGTTCAAGCTTTGAATGACGTCGATCAATATGATCTATATGTCGACCACAAGGTCCTATGATTGGCAAACACTTGAACATCATAAATCACTAACAGACATTTCGTAATATCGCGCCATTTCGAAGTGAAGGTTTTACAGTGACATTGACTCAGTAGAACACAATCAATATGTTGCCTTAAAAACACAGATCTGGTGTTCCGCGTCAACTATCTATTTGATTCAGCTTTCTTTTGAAATTTTTGATAAACTGAGATTCGACCACGAGTTAAGGTAAAGATTTTCATTCGTTGATCATTCAAGTTCGTGCAGTACAGCTCACCGACCCTTGTCAAGGTCAAGGACAACGAACGCGCGTCTGCTAATTGCATGTCATGGACTGGTCTGCTCGGTGGTTGCACTCTCTTCCTTGAACCTACACTTACCAATATATTGCTGTAATGACGTCGTTTGTGCTGATAGCCATAGTACTTCCATACGACGAGTGGATAATCCACGTTAAGTACTAACGTAAGGTATAACTTCAACGTTAGTTGACCGCCAATCATTCCACACAAATCATCTACACAATGTAAAATCGTTGGTTAACTGACAAGTAATTGATTCTGAGCTTGTGAAAAAATTTTTTCAGTGTTGTCTTGAGTTCTCTGTTTTGGAATGCGAGAAAACGGAGTTCGTGTGAGATGACGAAACTATCATTTATTATTACTGAATATGATTGACATAATAATGTAGCGTTATTTCAACTATTGTGTCAGGAAAATCATTGGTTGACTTCGCAGCTACATATGAGACTAGAGATTTGAAGTGTCTTTTGTAAACCATTTACTTTTTTTACCATTGGTTCTCACGATTCATATTGTAGCCTATAAAAATAGGTCGACCCTTGTGTTTGAGTCGAGGTAACGATTATTGTCCTAAATCATACTCTCTTAAATAGGCAGACTCTAACAGTGTGATCGAAGATGCGCCTCAAGACTTGAGTGAAGCGAATAGTGAGATGAATCGGGCTAAAATCTTTGATAAAATCATTTCACTTTTTCATGAAACTCATAGCTGCTTGTCAAGAGGCGGTGCTCGATTCGGCTACGACTGGTTAGGTCTCACATTCTTCTGAAACCAAGTATTCAGTTCTTCAATACATTTAGATTTGTGCGCCTCATGTTCGATGTATTACCCTCAATTATCAACGAATCTTTTTCAAAATTTCAACAATAATTTTATGGCGTCACATATTATTGGAATACAAGCATGATAATGTTCACACAGTTAAGATTAGTGAGCTCCAGGTATTTAAGCTCAATTATTTATAATGCTCTGAATGTTATCGAGAACTAATTTCTCAACTGCGTGAACGAAGTGCATTAACGAAGTATGAATACCATACTTATATGCTGATGATCTGAAAGTAGTATACAGCTATAAGCCAGAGGCTCTAAGTGAAAATTTATCCTGAATTCAAAATGACCCCAACAACCTGACTATCTGGAGAGAAAAAATGGCGATTTCCACTTAACCTCAACAAGTGCGGAATCATGTATTTTGGAAAAACATCCCTATGAACTACAACTTTACTTAAATAAAAGTAGAATCCAAACAATCAAATCAGTACACTATCTAAGAATTAATTACACAGGAAGCCTGAACTTTGAAGAACATGCATCGTCTATTATTTCTAAAGCTAGACGATACCATTTACAAAATATGTATACGACCATCCCTCGAATATTGCTCTTTTATCTTCTCAAATATGAATACCACAGACAAGATATAAGTAGGAGATGTTCAAAGACGCTTCATGCGCCAACTGCTAGGATGGGACTCCACTCTCAAATACACAGACAGATGTAAGCACCTCTCTTTAGAACCATCGTGGCACCGTAGTGTAAGGAACAATCTAATATTTCTCTATAAAGCAATACATGAACTCTCATTTCTAACCTCCTGCCCAACTATTATCCATGACCTAGTCTACAGACTAAGAAACAACGCATATGCACTACTTGCCGCAAAAAAACACCAAAAACAAATGCGTTGTAACTTTCTTTACAGTGCTGTATTGTTTAGTGTGGAACAAACTACCAATGTCTATCCGTAACTGTGACACTATCATAAAGTTCAAAAGACTAATAACCCTGTTACCAGAATCTGAAGGGCTTCATCAACTATTCCCTGAACTTCCTCCCACCAATAAGTTATTTTATTGTGGACCGCCTAATATCTAGACCAGTCGTGAATATAACAGACTCCATTGTCATTAATATGAATATAACCAAATTATGGAAAACATAGTTTACCGTTTCCCATTATTCATTGATTATTAGTCATGCCCTTATGCTCCTAACCCTCACTTTCAGATTTCAGGTCTCTCTAATGGTTAAAGATAAATCATTCTTCCTAAGTGTCATGTCTTTTATTTTTTCTATTACAAGTAGACAGATAGCTCAATAATCTCATGGATGCTGATCAAACATGGCCGATCATAAGAAGATCATAATGTCTTAAGTTCTTGTGAGTCGCTCAATATTTTATTTTTCTTGCCCTGAAAATTTTACAATCTTATGCTATTTCATATCCTTTGACTTGCTATCTATTCTTACCACCTCTTAACCACATATAATCTGGCCAGTTTCTTATAGCTTGTAACATCGACTATCGTCATAGCAGTTAGATATATTGAATGGATGTCTAACCCATAATACAAATGCTTTAGCCATCTGATTTGTTTGTAACATGGAACTAGTAGAGACAGTGCGTTCTAACAAAGACCTTCGATCAAAGCAGTATTCATATATACCACAAACGCAAGAGAGCCTAACATCACAAAACGAGGGCGGGTGGTGTTACTGACCAACAAACATGATGTTTAGGATATAACTTCAATCCATCCATATCTGTAGGGTACAGCGTTTTGCTCAATTATAGATCCTTATGGTCTGGTGGAGTGTCACGAACCGTTGGTATAGGTGCTGATTTATTATGCAAAATAACTCTTTAAATCGTATTTAAAACGCTGAATTGGTTTCTGTTCCTACCAAGTAATCCTATTACAAGCAAACTAGACAATTCGCTAAAACGAAGCCTGCTCAAGACCTTGGAAAATCTATGAAAAATAGTAGGTTCAAGTAGCTTCGACGAAAAAGGGAGGCAGCCATTTGTGTATCAGAATACTGTTTTCAGCACTATATTTTATAACTACACATAACCCCATACTTTCAGCTTCTCTCTCAAACGCCTCCGTTTGTCAGTTGTTTTTCCGCTCATACCTTGTCTACACTTATTTTCTATAACATGTTAGAATGCTTTTGTTTAACAAGTACCTCAATAAAAAAGAATTTGATCGAGTAGTCATACCTTACTATTCCCTCATGAACATTGTCTGCTCTGCTTCGCATCCTTTCTTTTTCCTACACCATTTTTCTGCCCCCTCGAGATATGCCACCGAAAACAGATATGGAACGGGTGACTTCACCCTTCATCACTATTAAATTCCCAGATACTGCAGAGGGATATAAAGTTGTGGTTTATAGAAGCCCCCAACTTCATATGAATCTATTCTCGACCACCAGTTATTGCTCGATTTAGCGCATCCAGGATCTGAGTATTGCGTTCGTAGCGGTGCGGACCAGAAAACGCTGCAGACGTAGGACGAAAACACGTTGAGCCAAGGGACCAGAAGCGACCATAGCAACCAAGTGCGAGACCAAACATATGCCAGACGTATTCGGAACCAGAACATCGACTGAGTGCGTTGACAAAAGCGTGGGTGATCAGGCCAGTTTTCGCCAAGTTTGACTGAAGTCGACGATACCAAGCGGGCGATGGTTGAAGTCGTGGGCTCGGGATACAAAAACAGTGAGAAGGTGTAACATGCATGCAGTATAGGAATAGTCCTACACTGTATCCGTTGTTGATTGTGCGGTTAGTCGCGAAGGCGTACGGGTAGGCGTACTCGGCGACCGGAACGCGGGACAGTGGTCTCGTTCGTACTTCGTGAGCCTGCAATCTCACCCGAAGTCAAGGGCGGCGTGGTCCGCTGATCTGGATGTGAGACTGAAGTCTCGTCCGTGGATGGTGCAGATGACACGTGCTGTTGACCGGGACGTGAGAATGAGGTCTCTTATGTATCTAGCGTGGGAACTAAAGTAGATGTAAGGATTCCGCTAGTAGGTTTGATAGGTCTAGCATTGGGTCTCAAGTTAGCTGGTAGGGCACTGTCACAGACGCGTAATGGTTTGAGAAGACTAATGATGACTACCTCAACGCGACCATGTTGATCAACCTTGAAGGTCTTTTCGTGATGAGAAATCACGTGAAAAGGTCCTTCGTAAGGCTGTTGCAAAGGTTTGCGTACTAAATCTACTCGTATGGAAACATGTGAACAGGTAGACAACTCTCGACGGAGAGTGACCTGTCGATATTGTATTCGAGTTGACACCGGAGGCAGTGTTCGCATAAATTCAGAAAGTCGATGGACGTAGTCTGATTAACCAAGATCGTTGCTGCTCCGTGGTGCGAAAAATTCTCCAGGCAGACGTAATGTTGTGCCGTATACAAGTTCAGAGGTGGAACATTGAATATCTGCCTTTTAGCTCGTTCTGATACCTAAGAGGACGAGCGGTAAGGTTTCGTACAAATTGTTGTTTTCGTGTGCTCTAAGAGCACTTTTAAGTTGGCGATGAAACCGTTCAACTAAACTATTTGATGCTGGGTGGTAGGCGATAGTGCGTATGCGTTCCGTGCTAAGCAGCCGGGTCAGTGAGGAGAATAGTTAATCGGGGGAATTTCTCGAATAAAGCATGGAATATATCGTCACGCGAATGAAAGACGCCCATGATTCGGTACGCGTACATCGGAGTCTATAATATTAATACCATTCTTATCGTTATCCGTCATCTCAAGTTGTTGCCAGAATATTATATATTGAAAATATCACTATGAAAATGTGCAACAGACGTGACCAGATAAGTAATAGACTAACCGCAATTAGCTTCTTTGGAAGATTCGACCAGAGGTTGAGACGTGTACCTAGGTTTGCTCACCAGTCGTAGCGTGGCGTCGATTCGCGGCTGGCCATGATCACCACTACAGGAAGACTACGTGCCAGTTAATCCATAAGATCCCCCGT